AAAACCAAATTACACAGAATAAAGAAAGAATATTAAGAGCAGCTAAGGAAAAAGCCAAGTAACATATAAAGGCAGACCTATCAGAATTACACTTGACTTCTCCATGGAAACTCTGAAAGCCAGAAGATCTTGGATAGATATTCTACCAACACTAAGAGACCATGGATGCCAGCCCAGACTACTATACCCGGCAAAGCTCTCAATCACTATAGATGGAGAAAACAAGATATTCCATGACAAAACTAGATTCAAGCAATACATATCCACTAACCCAGCCCTACAGAAAGTTTTGGAAGGAAAACTCCAACCCAAGGAAGTTAACTACAACCAGAAAAACATAGGCATTAGAGAATCCCTCTCTACCAACAGCCAAAAGAACAAAGGGGTGAAATTCCACACATAATTCCAACAACAACAACCATCGCAAATCGAAGAAGAATGGGCAATCAATGGTCATTAATATCCCTCAACATTAATGGCCTTAACTCACCCATAAAAAGACACAGACTAGCAGAATGGATTCGAAGACAGAACCCATCCTTCTGCTGCATACAAGAAACATACCTCACCTTCAAAGACAGACATTACCTGAGAGTTAAAGGTTGGAAAAAAATTTCCAATCAAATGGACCCAAGAAACAAGCAGGGGTAGCAATCCTAATATCTAACAAATTAGACTTTAAAATAAAATCAATCAAAAGAGATGAAGGAGGTCATTACATACTTATCACAGGTGAAATCCACCAAGATAAAGTGTCTATCCTGAACATCTATGCCCCAAATGCTAAGGCATGCACATTTGTAAAAGAAACATTACTAAAACTTAAATCACATATAAAGCCCCCCACACTTACAGTGGGAGATTTCAACATACCACTCTCACCACTAGACAGGAATACCAGACAGAAACTCAACAAAGAAGCAAAGGGTCTAATAGAAGAAATGATCCAACTGGGATTAACAGATACCTATAGAACATTTCATCCACATAAAAAAGAATATACCTTCTTCTCAGCACCACATGGAACCTTCTCAAAAATTGACCACATACTTGGCAACATATCCAACCTCAGCAGCATCAAAAAAATTGGAATAACTCCATGCATCTTATCAGACCACCATGCTTTAAAATTAGAATTCAACAACAACACAAATTGCAGAAAACCTACAAACTCATGGAAATTGAATAATGCACAATGCACCATTCCTGGATCAAAGAAGAAATAAAAAAGAAATTAAAGACTTCCTAGAATTCAATGAGAATGAAGACACAACATGCCCAAACCTATGGGATACTTTGAAAGCAGTGCTACGGGGGAAGTTTATAGCACTAAGTGCCCACATGAAGAAACTGGAGAATAGTTATACTAGAGAATTAACAGCACAGCTGAAAGCTCTAGAACATGAAGAAGCAAACTCCCCCAGGAGGAGTAGATGCCAAGAAATAATCAAACTGAGGGCTGAAATCAATAAAGTGGAAACTAGGAAAACAATACAAAGAATCAATGCAACAAAGAGTTGGTTCTTTGAGAAAATCAACAAGATAGACATGCAAATTAACAAAATCAGAAATGAAAAGGAGGACATAACAACAGAGTCTGAGGAAATTCAGAGAATCATCAGGTCATACTTTGAAAACCTGTACTCCACAAAATTCAAAAATTTAAAGGAAATGGACGACTTCCTGGATAGCTATCACTTGCCAAAACTAAATCAAGAACAGATAAGCAACTTAAATAGACCTATAATCCCTATGGAAATAGAAGCAGTCATCAAAAGTCTCCCAACCAAAAAAAGCCCAGGACCAGATGGCCTCAGTGCAGAATTCTACCAGAAATTCAAAGAACAGCTTATACCAATTCTTCTCAAAGTATTCCACGCAATAGAAGCAGAAGGGTTTTTGCCAAACTCTTTCTATGAGGCTTCAATAACCTTGATCCCCAAGCCACACAAAGACACAGTTAAGAAAGAGAACTTCAGACCAATATCCCTCATGAACATTGATGCAAAAATACTCAATAAAATACTGGCAAATCAGATCCAAGAACACATCAAAACCATCATTCACCACTATCAAGTAGGTTTCATCCCAGGGATGCAGGGATGGTTCAACATATGAAAATCCATCAACGTAATCCACCATATAAACAAGCTGAAAAACAAAAATCACATGATCATGTCACTGGATGCTGAAAAAGCTTTTGACAAAATCCATCCCCTTCATGATAAAGGTCTTGGAGAGATCTGGGATAACAGGAACATACTTAAACATAATAAAAGCTATATACAGTAAACCAACAGCTAACATCAAACTAAATGGACAGAAACTCAGTGCAATTCCTCTAAAATCAGGAACAAAACAAGGCTGTCCACTCTCTCCATATATTTTCAACATTGTTCTTGAAGTTCCAGCCATTGCCATAGGACAACAAAAGGGGATCAAACAAGTGAAAGACCTGTATTGCAAGTACTTTGAATCTTTAAAGAAAGAAATTAAAGAAGCCCTCAGAAAATGGAAAGATCTCCCATGTTCTTGGATAGGTAGGATCAATGTAGTAAAAATGGCAATCCTGCCAAAAGCAATCTACAGATTCAATGCAATCCCCATTAAAATCCCAGCACAATTCTTCACAGACCTTGAAAGAACAATAATCAATTTTGTATGGAAAAACAAAAGACCCAGGATAGCCAAAATAACCCTGTTCAACAAGGCAACGTTTGGAGGCATCACCATCCGACTTCAAGCTCTATGATAGAGCTATAGTCCTGAAAACAGCTTGGTATTGGCACAAAAACAGACAGGTAGACCAATGGAATCGAGTTGAAAACACTGTATTAACCCACAATCGTATGAACATCTGATCTTTGATAAAGAAGCTAAAAATACGCAATGGAATAAAGAAAGCATCTTCAACAAATGGTGCTGGCATAACTGGAGGCTGGCATGTAGAAGACTGCAGGTCGATCCATGTTTATCGCCATGCACAAAACTTAAATCCAAATGGATCAAAGACCTCAACATAAATCCAGCCACACTGAACCTCTTAGAAGAGAAAGTGGGTGGTACCTTTGAATGAATTGGTACAGGAGACAGCTTCCTGAACATAACACCAGTAGTACAGACAGTGAGATCAACAATTAATAAATGGGACCTCCTGAAACTGAGATGCTTCTGTAAGGTAAAGGACACCGTCAGCAAGACAAAAAGGCAGCCCACAGAATGGGAAAAAATATTCACTAACTCCACATCTGACAGAGGGTTGATCTCCAAAATTTACAAAGAACTCAAGAAGCAAGTCTCCAAAACACCAAAGAATCCAATTAAAAAGTGGGCTGCAGAACTAAATAGAGAATTTTCAATAGAGGAGTCTAAAATGGCTGAGAGGCACTTGAGAAAGTGCTCAACATCCTTAGCCATCCAGGAAATGCAAATAAAAACAACTCTAAGATACCATCTCACTCCTGTCAGAATGGCTAAAATCAAAAACACCAATGACAATTTATGCTGGAGAGGATGTTGTGAAAGGGGAACACTCCTCCATTGCTGGTGGTAGTGCCAACTGGTTCAGCCATTTTGGAAATCAGTATGGAGATTCCTCAGGAAAATGGGAATAAACCTACCACAAGACCCAGCAACTCCACTCTTAGGCATATATCCAAAAGATGTCCATTCATACAATAAGGATGTCTGTTCCACTATGTTCATAGCAGCATTATTTGTGATAGCCAGAACTTTGAAGCAACCTAGATGCCCCTCAGCCGAAGAGTGGATAGAGAAAATGTGGTACATTTACACAATGGGGTACTATTCAGCAGAAAAAAAAACCAATGGAATCCTGAGATTTGCAGGCAAATGGATGGTACTAGAAGAAACCATCCTGAATGAGGTAACCCAGTTACAAAAAGAGAAACATGGCATGTACTCTCTCATATATGGATTTTAGGCATAGATCTGGGGAGTGCCAGCCTACAATACCATGGCCAGAGAGTCTGGGAAACAGAAACTTCATTCAGTGGCTGATGGAAGAAGAGGCAGACTCCCATGGCTAAGCACTGAGCTGAACTCAAGAAAGCCAGTAACAGAGAGGGAGGACTGATGACCAAAGGAGTTAAGACTGGGCTGGTTTAACCCCAGAAACAGCTTACCTGACAAGGGTTAACTCTTGAATCCCAGGCTGATGCCTGGGAATCCAACATGGGACTGATCAAGACACCCTGAATGCGGGTGTCAGTGAGGAGGCCTAGGTAATCTATTGAGCCTTGGGCAGTAGATCAGTATTCATCCCGAGTATACACATGGACTTTGGACTCCCATCCAACAATCTGAGATGAACTCTCACCCTGAACTCTTGGGGGGAGGGTCTAGGCCCTGTCCTGGATGAAATGACAGTCTATGGACACCCCCATGGAGGGCCTCACCCTCCCTTGGGAAATGAGAGGATAATGGGGGAGTTGGGGGGGCACGGGAGGAGGGGAGGGAAAGGGAGAGGGACCTGGAACTGACTTGTGAACCAACCATGTTTCTAATCTAAATTTAAACTTAAAAATAAAGAAAATTTAATAAAAAAAAAGAATGAGCATGCTGCTGTTACTTTTGTAGATGTATGGCTTATAACAACTGATGGTCTTGTGGTAAAATTTGCTGACCAACCCATTCTTCCTTTCAATGTACCTTCTTCTTCATGGAACAGGAGCCCTTCTGTGGCATCTCTTAGGGGACTCAACAGGAAACTGCCATGAGTAGGGAAGTCAGATGACCTGGTCACCCGAATTTGAGTTCTTTACTTATAGAGTGGCCATTCCTCAATGAACAAGAGGGGTGATTACACCAAAGTGATCATTCTGTTGGGAGAGGAAGTGGCATTACCAGGGGGCAGGATGGGTACATCAGCCAAAATGATCCACTTGGAATACCTCCCAACCTCTTTTGCTTCAAATGATTCTGAGTTTTAAATAAATATGTGTGTTGGCTCTTTCTCATAAGCAGTACTGGCCTCTAAGTTGTATCATTTTGTATCTTTATTTGCACATCTGCTATTCAACAACAGCATTGCCCAAGTTGATCTGAGGAGTATCCCAAAATCGAGGAAAAGAGGGAAATGAAGAGTTCAGCAATGCTGAAGATCATCAACATAATCAAAATCCCCTGCAACAGAAAGAAACAATGGAGTCATGCTATTGGGTTTTCTAATCACAATGAAGTAGCCATTAGCACATAATACACCCTTACCTCTCAAATTAGGGAAGGATAATGGGAATATAAGTCATACCAGCATAGCATAGGATAACATTATTTTCTTTAAGAAAAGTCAAACAGGAATATTTACTAAATTATATGCAGGAAACTCTCCATTTCATAAACACAGTATCCATGGAGGAATGTGTATTCGAAAAGTGGTCTCTTGAAGGACAAAGACAGAAGAAATTCAAGAGGTAAGAAAATGGTAGAGATGAAAACAGAAAAGGCAAGGAAAAGAGAAAACTACTATTCCAGAAAAAGAGTAACACAGAAAAGGGACATGGAGAGAAAGCTAGGCTAAAAGCACCACCCACTCCCCCCAATCGCTACAGAAGACGTTTAAAGTAAATTGCACCGTGCCAACTAAGAGCATAGCCATACACACCTGGCCAGGAGTCCACAGGCAGATCCTGGCACAGAGCTGGTTGAAGCCTACCCTCTTCCAAGAGTGGATCCTTCTATTGCCATTGCAAATGTTCTATGCTAAAATTGTCTGTTGTGTCTTTATGATAGGTTGAATAACTATTTAAGATGACCTGTTTTTGTTTGCTTTTTTTTTTTTGCTCTTTACTTATTTTTTAAAATTTAAATTAGAGACAAGCTTGCTTCACAGGTTAATTCCATTTCCCACTCCCTCCCCTTCCCCCCCAGGATCCCCACCCAGTCCCCATTATGTTCCCCAGGGAGAGTGAGGCCCTCCATGGGGCATATCTATAGTCTGTCATTTCATTCAGGGCAGGGCCTAGGCCTTCCCCCAAGAGTTCAGGCTGAGAGGGCATCCCTCATTGTGGGATGGGCACCCAAAGTCCATTTGTATGCCAGGGATAAATACTGATATATTAATCAGGGCCCCATAGATTGCCCTAGGCTCCTCACTGACACCCACATTCAGGGGGTCTGTATCAGTCCCATGGTAGCCTCCCAGACATCAGCCTGGGGTCCAAGAACTCTGCCTTGTTCAGGTCAGCTGTTTCTGTGGGTTAAACCTCACGGTGTAAAGTATTTCAATACTTCACTCTTCTGTGACAGGAGCTGATTAATTTTCTTTTTTTGTTATTTGTTTTATCCTGAATAATGCTACAGCAGTGTCCTTGTAATACATGTTTATATACAAGTGCTTTAATTGCAGTATAGATAGATACTGGGCTAAAAGCCATGTGTGCCTTCTATGTAAATGAATGCTTTCTCCTTGCTCTGCCGTCTCAGATGATGATGCATGGTTTCATTCTGCCTTGCTTGCCACCCTACTTCCTCATTAATTCTTGACTGCTGTCTGGGAGCTTGATTGATGGATTCTGAATATATTGATTAATAAACTACCAGACTTTTGATAGAGAGACAGCAAGTTGAGGAATTTTATAGATGGATTTAATCAAACTGAGGAAATTCTTCCTCTGTTCTTGGCTTGTTGAGTGTTTTTATCATTTAATGATGAATTTAGTCAAATGTTTTCTATGTCAACTCAAATATCATGTGGGTTTCATCTTGTGTTTTGTTTATATGGTATAGTAAACACATAGATTTCCTTAAACATACATTCCATTCTTGATACACAGGATACCTGTGGTTGGTGATCTGTTACACACCACTAGATTCAGCATGCTTGTATTTAACTGGAGACTTTTATATTTGTATTTATAAGAAATATAGGTCTTTAGTTATCTTTGTGGGATTTTGGTGTTTCGGCCTGGTTAATTTCAGCCTTACAGAACAGCCAGGTGCTGTCACAGTAATGTCTTGTTAGTAAGGTTGTCTATCAGTTAACTTGAGCCTCAAACAATTAATGGCAACTGGCACGTTGAAGGAGGGCACTTTTGCTCCAGTAGTCTTGAATGAAAAAGATATAGTTGGTAATCCCCAAAGAGTTTGAGCTGCCTATGAGCTGTTGTATCTTGCAGTACATCTACTTTGGGATTTCTTAAGGACTACTGTTTAAGACTATGTGAGATGTACCAATGACAGCGGGTGATGGTTTTAGTACGATCCATTGATGCTCCAGTATACATCTTCTCTGAATACACACACACACACACACACACACACACACACACACACACACACACGAACATCTATATGTTATATACAAATATATATCTTCTTGCTGAAAAATCACAAAGAATGGTGACTAGATTATATTGGATTATTGGCAAAGAAGCTTGGTATATCTTGTTCCTACTAGCTGTCATTCATAGAGTCATTTCTTTTTATACATGTTTTCAGTTTGAGTTGGAAAAAGTTATAGGGGCTTCTGGAAGCTATTGCTCATTTTCCTCCATATATCCTTTATCGTAAGCAAGATTCAGTTCAAGTTGTGAGCATTGTTGAATCACAGTGTTGATGTCTACTGTAGGTTAAAATCTCAGGGTGTGAGGATGGGGCTGAGGAGTGGGAAGAAGTCAGAAGTTAGGCTTGTGGCTACAGTTTCTTGAGTACTCTTTTCCTTTATTCACTGTACCACTTTAGGACAGGACACTTTATCTTGTCCTCATCTATTGAGGGCCCAGGTCACTGTAGACCTATCTTGAGTGGACACTGGCCCTTCATCTCTCTCATAGTTAGATTTCAGAAGGCCAACACTGACATACAGCTGTGACACATAAGCAGTGCCTGTGTTCTCTAACATTCCATTTAGAAATTCCAATCCTAAGCTTTTCTTTTACACATTTCTAGTTTGTAAACAGCAGCGTTTTAAGGTGGTTTTCTTGCTTTGTTTTGTTTTTGTTTTTGTTTTTGTTTTTTTTATAAGACAGGGTTTCTCGGTATTGTTTTGGAGGCTGTCGGTCCAGCCCGGCCTCAAACTCACAGAGATCCGCCTGCCTCTGCCTCCCGAGTGCTGGGATTAAAGGCGTGCGCCACCAACGCCCGGCAGTTTTAAGGTTTTTAAATGTTGAGTTTTGTTTTATTTGTAGCACTTTGTTCTCAGAGAAGGGCTGATTTGAAAAGTTCTGCTCAGCATGACCAGGACTAGTTCCCTCTTTCTGTCTCCACCCCCAATTTTGGAGGTCACACCACATGCTATCTTAGAACAGCTCTCTTTTACTTGAACCCCATTTTCTTAGGTAGTTTTGAACTTCTTCAGCAATTTTGGGGTGGACTGTGATCCAAACTATTGCCTCATCTCAACTAAGCATGAACTCTACCATGAAGTTAGTCACATTAGTGGTCTTTAATATGCCTACTAGACTATTAGTTTATTTCTATATATATACTCATCTGTTGCTTTTACATTGTTTTATACCAATTAATGTTATATTTTGGACAGAGCAGAAATGTCTGTTTTCAGTTTATCACACTTTATCAGAATCTAAATAGAATATAATATAAATATTAAAACCAAATAAAACCCAGTTATAATATATATATATATATAACTGTAATATATATCACAGTTATAATGTATATTGGGAACTTTGAACCAGAAGGATACCTCTATGCCACTATCTTTTAGTATCATTTCTATTTATAGTATCTTTATTTCACTTTTATAAGTTATTGAGTGTTTATTGTTCTACTCCACAATGCCTGATAGAATGTTGGTCTAGGACAGTGTACTCCTGACTGTTTTGAGCTAAAGGAAATACACATGTGTCCATAATACTATCCAGATGGTGCTGACTGGGTGCTGACCTTTTTTGTTTAAACCATCTGCTTCTCACTCCAGAAGTGGCACAGGGTACTTACAATGAATAGGACGGTAATAGCACCACACTGAATGCCATCTGGAGAATAGCCACAGATGAATTCTCCATCTAGAAGGAAACCAAATATGAGGAGAATGATTCCAGCTGCTGCTCCCAGGGCACTAAGTATATTCATCACCTGGCTCAATCTTATCTGCAATAGAATCAGAACATAACACAAGACTCAGGCCTACCTTGCATCACAGACAGAACAGTAGGGGGTGTGTGAGTATTGGAGAGCTGGATTAGTCAAAACACCAAGAAAACACCATGTGACAATTTAAAACATTTACAACTCATAATACACAGTGAATAAGAGAAGTAAGCCAACCTTTGATAACCTCTCCATGTCTCACATTCTGTGCTTGGGTTAACTTCCATTCAAATAGAGGTAGCTATGGCCTGTTTAAATGTTCATTTAAAGACTGTATTTAACCAAACACTGCATTTCTCTGTCACTTTTTCATCTTATTAAAATTATAAACTTTTAGGGCTGGTGAAATGGCTTAGCAGATAAAGGCACTTGCCACCTGAAAACCTGAGCTCCATCCTTGGGAACCAGGGGTATAGGAAAGAACCAGCTCCTTCAAGCCATCTTCTGACTTCCACAGGTACACTGTGACTTCCATGGGTACACTGTGGCTGCCACGGGTATGCTGTGACTTCCATGGGTACGCTGTGATTTCCACGGGTACGCTGTGACTTCTACGGGTACGCTGTGACTTCCACGGGTACGCTGTGACTTCCACGGGTACACTGTGACTTCCACGGGTACACTGTGGCTGCCACGGGTATGCTGTGACTTCCATGGGTACCCTGTGACTTCCACGGGTACGCTGTGACTTCCACGGGTACGCTGTGACTTCCACGGGTGCGCTGTGACTGCCATGGGTACGCTGTGACTTCCATGGATACGCTGTGACTTCCACGGGTACGCTGTGACTTCCACGGGTACACTGTGACTTCCACGGGTACACTGTGACTTCCACGGGTACACTGTGACTGCCACGGGTACGCTGTGACATCCATGGGTACGCTGTGGCTGCCACGGGTACGCTGTGACTTCCACGGGTACGCTGTGACTTCCACGGGTACGCTGTGACTACCACAGGTACACTGTGGCGTGGACATGCACCCTTCTCCCCATACATACCCAATAAATAAAAGTAAACACATTTTTTAATTACAAAATTTTAGGGCGTTCTTTGATCCAAATTACTTTCTGATTTTATTAATTACTATCTAATGTCTTTGTTTCTTTGAGTGAAATAGAATATGTCTACAAATTTGCGCAGATCAGCAATGTATTATTTACCTTTGGGGTCCATTTATGATTTCATTAGGTTGTCTACATTGTACTTTCCTGTGAGTCAAACTATGGCCTATTAAAGCATCTGATATGGACTAGGCATCAAAACTACGTATGGAAAGACTGAATGACTGGATTACTGAGACCCAATCTGTAATAATGACCTGAGACCATGGGTAAGTCATTGAACTGTTCTGTTCCTGTGTCTTCATGTAGAGCATGAGACTCAAATATGATAACCTGGAAAAGTCTCCTGATAACTAATGGCTTCTGATTCTATGATGATTTTCAAATTACTCAGCAATTATACTTTTATGAGGTAGAAATAGAACTCACCAGAGAGTCTGTAGTTTTCCTTTTCAGTGCAATCAGAAAGGCTCCAGAGTTAATGAACTACAAACAAACAAATAATCTTCATGATGGATATGGTAAGCTGATGCGGAGGCTTTCTCGGGTCAGATCTCTGCCTGCTTCTTCCCTATGCTTCCCTCGTAAGGTAAGGTCACAGAAACCCCAGGGGAGTGAGGAGGGTAAGCCACCTCCCACAACTGTCCACAGAACAGGACAAAAAGGCCGGATCTGCTTTAGTCTGAGCCACCTGTTTAAAGAAGAGGCTGTTTCTACCTTACTGGACTTTCATTTCCTCATCCATTTTCCTGTTATTGATATAATGACTCAGCTTCCAGCTTCCAAATGACACCAGTGTCATCAGTTTAAGAACACTAAGGTCATATAGCACTATACTTGGATGGGAACACTAGGTACAATTTCATCCAACAAACTGCAGAGAGAGAGAGAGAGAGAGAGAGAGAGAGAGAGAGAGAGAGAGAGAGAGAGAGAGAGAGAGAGAGGAAGGGAGGGAGGGAGGAAGAAAAGAAGAGAGGAAGGAAGAAACAACACACATTAATTTTTATGGAGGTGGGTCAAATATGGCAGCCTCATTGCCTAGTGGAAACTGAAAATCTGAGTTCTAGCCAGCTGTATTTAAAATTTCAGCCTCTTCTTCCAGCCCCCTTAGTAGCGGATGCTTCCCAAGACTGTCAGACAGACAATGAACCTCCCCGCTTTATACCCGGATACCTACTGTTCCCATCCTTTGTGTGACCTTTCCATCTAATTAAACAACCCCTCATCCTGTAAGCCCTGGTCCAGCTGGAAATGACTATGGGTAGTTCCCTTTACACTTAGATACTTTTCCTCTGGAAGCAGCTTCTATGTCCTCTGCAAAATACTTGTTATGCCCCATGGTACGAGGACTTGTGACCAGGTACTGCCCTCTACTGAATCCTACACCCTACCCACTCTCTGATGCTAAGTAGGTGCTAAGTTAATGTACACTACATGATGTGATTAAATAAGCATCTCTATGTGGCTCAGTAGGCACACCCTGTCCCTGCTTCTTCACTTTCTGTAGAGCAAATTGTTTGCTTATCAGAAGCAACCTAATATAGGTATAAGAAGTATGCTGATCTCTTAGCATGGTTTCTTTCTTATTAGACTGAATGTCCATTGGAGGATAATCACTGAAATTGGATCCACACCGTCTTGCTCTGTGAATACAGTTTATCATATATTGCAAGTAATTTTAGATGAATTAATGGACCAATAAACAACCATAAAGCCAAAAGGAATATTCCCTCCAAATTTCATGACTCAAAGATGAGCTACCATCAATTCTGGTGATTCAGTGGAGGATAGAAGTAATTAATTGCAAAGGGGTTAATATCTTTGTGGCATTTTCTACAGAATCATATACCCAAATCTGTCTTGTTTTATGTAAGAATTCATTTACTAACACCTTGCCTGGATGACATGCCTTGAAATTGAACTAAATGTACTATACTCACCAAAGCAGAGCCCCAGAATGGATATCCTGAGATAAATATAAAAGGGAACCTTGGGTATGGGTTTACCAAGGTGAAAAGGAAAACAACTCCAAACGAAAAGTTCATGATTCCAAACAGGATCTGGGTGGTCTGCAAACAGAGGGGAAAGTGAGCTCAGAAGAAGCATGGGTTGGGCTCATTCTACTCAAATCTTTAGTTCAAGGATTTGGCAGGTACCCTCTTTAGTCTACAGGAGGATAATGGACATCCCTTTACAATACACCTTAATGTTTTCTTGATTCCTCCATTTGATAATTGCTAAGAGGAGAATGAGTCAAACCAACTGTTCCCAAGCTCAACTTCAGCTGGTGCTGTGAGTGGAAGCTCCCAAGCCCTATTCTTCACTCACTAAACCCCCCAGCTCTTCAGCTCATGCATGTGAATGTTGAATTTAAATTACAAAGCAGCCTGGCCTCAAGGGGACACACAGAAAAGCCCTCTTGGAGGATTGTTCTTCTGAACCTTCTGAAGCCTGGATGGCTTGGTCTTCATTCTCCCTGCCCTATGCTTGTAAGACACATTTTCCACACACTGTTAATGTTATGCCGGGAGTCCATAGGTGCTAGAGAAGCCTAGGAGAATAACAAAAAGAACGAAGGCATATGCCCCAGGGGTCATGACATCTCAGATCCTTTCACTATACTTCCTCGGTCTGGGTGAGCTCTTTCTCAGTACCAACATTTAGTGGCTGAATCCTAAGAGGTATGTACATATTTTCATCACACAGGTTGACTATCCGTCTTGAATGCCCCACTACCAACTCAATCCATATGTCCTAAAATGGGCTCATTTTCTCCCTTTAAGCCTGATTTTAGGACTTCGTTGTCTCTGTTGTTGCTGTCATCATTTTAGGCTTGGGAACTTTTCAAGTTCCCTGATTGCAACAATCCCAAAGCAGCTAACTTTCCTATTATCTCTACTTGTGAAATCATGCATACTTCAGCCAGCAAAGTGGCTCAGCAGGTAAAGGTGCCTGACCCCAAGCCTAACAAGTCGAGTTCCATCCCGGGAGCCTAGAAGGTGGAAGGAGAGAGTGGACTCCTGAAAATTTTCCTCTGACTTCCACACATGAGCAGTAAGTGGCATGCTTATGAACATATGTGTACAAAAACAAATGAACACAGGTAAAACATAAATAGCAATTTGACAGGAATTATAAAAACATACATATGTGAGTTTTATACCATTTTCCTGTTATAGGCAATACTGGGATTCTTAATTCATAACTTTTATGTTTCTCCCACATGTTGGTGAACATGTAGAGATATTTCTCCATTGTCCATCATCATGCAGAGCACTCACAGGCTTCTTTCATTTAGCAATATGAAAATGAGATTCTTTATGCTTCCTCCTGGCATGTTAGCTCATTTCTTGTACCACCGAACACTTTTCTACTGTGTGGGTATAACATGACTAATTTATCAGGCAGGTTGATTCTTTTTTAGTCTTCTTAAATCTTTTAAGTCTAGAGTGACCTCTCCCAGCTTTCCTCTACCACCCGCCATGCTTCCCATACATCACCTACCAGTGTTTTCTGCATCTAGTATGATTCTGTTTTTCCCTTTCGTTTACACTTGTTGAGATTCCATCCTTTTGTCAGAGTCTGGATTAAATGTCCAATTCTTTGTGAAATGTGCTTGTCCACTTTTCATTGGAAATAACTACTCCAACTCTGGGGCTTCCACTGTCACTATCACCATTTATGCTCTCATTAGATTAGAAAATATTGAAATATATATCTCAATATTTTCATGCTATTATTGTTCGAATGACACCTTTATTTTCCTCAGTGAGGAAAAGCTAGTTTTTATTTATTTCTGTGAATACAGCAACTAACATAGTTGCTTGCTCCTAGTTCTATTTCTGTTAGTGTATTATAAACTATTTCATTCAAGATTGGACTCCATTGTATGTGAAGAGATGCTGAAGCAGATTGTACTAGTGGTCTTCCATGTGCCACAGGATGATCTTTCTTATATTTGTTTTTTTTCTGAAAAAAAGATTACTTTCTATATTCCATTATGGGAGGCTGGAATTCAAAGGACAAAATATTCTCAAAGATGTGGGTTACATTACAACCTCAAATGTATGTGACTACCTCTCACCTACCCATTATCTTAAGAAAGTTTGGTAGATAAAATTAGTATTTGTAGAATGAACAAGATTGACTGATAGAGAAATGAATGTTTGCCAGGACCCCACCACTAGATAAAGAACTACAGGCAACTAAGGACTGATGAGAAACAGAAAATTAGTCTTTTAAGCCTCCACCCCACCCTGTGAATTGATGATCCAAGTACAAGTGGTCAGCAACACTTATCAGAACCAGAAGATTGTATTTATGTATTTGTGTATTTATGCATATATGTAACAATCAAAAAGAGACTACAGTTTTGAGAGGGAACAGTGGAACTAGGTTGATGGGAGATTATGTACTTACATTTTTAATTTAAGAAATAAAAGAAGCTCTTCTAAAAATCTTTATACTTATATGCAAAAATAAGCATACATGTGAATGTTGTATAAAACTGTGAGTTCTGAGCTTTTCTTGGGCAGGTATAAAAATATATTCTAAGCAAGGGAATCTGGCCTAACTTCTACTTGATTGTCATTTTTCCTTTTTCTCTCTGAAATTGACTAGAAGAATCTCAAAGATGGTTAGCTTGGAGGCTATGACTTTTAAGAGTCCAGGAACGCTGAATTTATTCATCTTGTATTTTCCTGCTGGAAGAATCTTGTGCATAATTTATATAGAAGCACAATACTTTTTAAAGTGAGTAGGGATGGAAGTTGGAGTTCATTCCCATTGGAGAATGTGTGTCAACAGATAGTTTCTTACCCATCCCCCATCCTCAGTAGAGGGACACATTTACTCACCCCTAAGATCTTCAATTTTCTAATAAGGACTTTCTGCACTCGGTTTTGGGATTCATAGGCTGTGGCTGTAAGTTCTGTTGTTCGGTACTCAGGACTGGTGACCTCTGGAGGAAGTACCAGGAGCACAGGGCTGTGCATGTTGTTTGAACCCATGATGGTATAGTTGGTATTTTAAAGTGGAAGAAAAGGATGTAGCCGGTACTCCCATTTAGACCATGTTTGTTTCCTGTACTGAGGCTATCTAGAGCACTGCCATTGTTGTACTTTGGCTTAGAATTGTAGAACCATAAAGTCACAGAGTCATAGAATCTCAGGAATGGTCAAGAGCCCAAAGATATGAGTTAAAGTGCCCACATCTGTGTATTGGATTGGAGAAGCTGACTAGTGGTCTTGGTTTTGTCAGAAAACATTGTGTCCTTGGACAAGTCACATAGTCCTCTGTTCTTACAACTTCCTCATATGTATTTTAACCTGTGAAATCTTTTAGTTCTCAAATTTCCAGCTTTTTTCATTTCAGATGTAGGGAGGACAAAACCTTTCAGGTCTTAGAACTAATAAGTCAATTTTTTTTTAAAGCACATGCTGCTTGTCACTTGAAAGATATTTTTTTGCCACCTCATTTTAGTAGCTTTATGTTATAAACTACCCCAACGCATCGTGGCTTCAAAGAACTGCATTTTTATTTTGTGTACATTCTGTGGACATTTACATTGCTGCTTTTCCAGGCTGGTGCTGTTCTATTAATCCCTGCCAAATTTCCTCACACATCTGTGACCCACTAGTGGATTGTGTAGAGTTAGATGAGTGAGGGGTGGCCTCAGTCACACATCCAATAATTGTAGACTTTTGTTGTGTATTGTTTTTCTTGTTTTTCAGGACAATAATGCCCTTCAGACTCATGCTGAGTCATTTGCAAGTATTCCATTAGCCTAGGCAAATTCTGTAGGCAGTTTAAACTCAAGTGATAAATAGACTACTTCATTAGTGGATGTGGCCTGTCAAATTGCAAGAACATGAATGAACAAAAGAAAGAATGTATTTGTTTTAGGTGTGTGTGTGTGTGTGTGTGTGTGTGTGTCTTTGTGAGTGTTTGTTACTTGTGTGCAGGCATCTATGGAGGCCAGAAGAGGTCAGCACATTTCCTGGAGCTAGATCTAGAGGTAATTTTGAGCTGCTCAATATGGGTTCCCTGTAAGAATACTCTTAACTACAGTTATCTCTGCAATACTGTGGGATATACTCGTATGTATATGTATGTGTACATGTGTATGTGTATGTATGTTGTGTGTATATATTTTTTGTTTATTTATTATTTTTATTACAATTTTTTAGAAAAGAGCTTGCTTCACATGTCAATCCCAGTTCCCTCTTCCTCCCCTCCTCCCACACTCCCCCACCAAACCCCCCAGCCTCCCACCCTATCCCCACTTCCTTCCACGTAGGGGATATCCAGAGTCTGTCATTTTGCCTAGGGCAGGGTTCAGGCCCTCCCCCAAGAGTCTAGACTGAAAGAGCATCCCTCTCTGTGTTGTGGACACGCGAAGTCCATTTGTATGCCAGGGATAAACACTGATCCACTTGCCCAGGGCCCCATAGGTTGCCCAGGCCTCCTCACTGACTCTCACACACAGGGGGTCTGGATCAGTCCCATGCTGGCCTCCAAGCTGTCGGTATGGGGTCCAAGAGCTCTCCCCTGTTTAGGTCAGCTGTCTCTGCTGGTTTTGCCAGCCCATTCTTTGCCCATTTGTTCATTGATCCTCTCTCTCTGTCACTGGGTTCCAGGGATTCAGTTCAGTGTTTAGCTGTGGGTGTTTGCCTCTGCCTCTATCAGTCACTGGATGAAGGTTCTAGGATGGCATATCAGGTAGACGCCAAGTTCATTATCAGGAATGGGCATTTAAGGTAGTCTCTCCACTATTGATTAGCTTGCCAGTTGGTGTCATCCTTGTAGATAGCTAGAGGTCTCACTGGTGTCAGATCTCTCTTCAAACCTATGACTCCTTCCATTATGGTATTTCTCATCCTGTTCTCCCCCTATTCTACCCCCAACTCAACCTTCCTGTTCCCCCATGACCCTCCTCTCTCCTCCTCTCTCTGTTTCCCAGTCCCCCGTGTCCCCCCCCCCCCCGTGTTCCTAATCTGTTCAGGAGTCTTGCCTCATTCCTCTTCTCTGGGATACCACGAATATCTCACTTAGGTTCTTTCCTGTTTCCCAAACTCTCTGTCAGTGGAAATGCAGACTGTCACTCTCCTGATCCATGTCTAAAATCCATATATGAGTGAGTATATACCATGTTTCTCTTTTTGTGACTGGGTTACCTCACTCAGGGTGGTTTCTTCTAGTAACATCCATTTGCCTGCAAATTTCAAGATTCCATTGTTTGTTTCCACTGAGTAGTACTCCATTGTGTAAATGTACCACATTTTCTCTATCCACTCTTCAGTTGAGGAGCATCTAGGTTGCTTCCAGGTTCTGGCTATTACAAATAATGCTGCTATGAACATAGTGGAACAGATGTCCTTGTTGTATGAATTTGCATCTTTTGGATATATGCCTAAGAGCAGAGTTGCTGGGTGTTGTGGTAAATTGATTCCCATTTTCCTGAGGAATCTTCATACTGATTTCCTGTGTGTGTTTCTTGATTATACTAATAATACTACTCTCTATGAGCTTATGAGGGACAATTACATTCAAACTACCATAATCTTATCTTGATGCTAACTATTCTTGGGAAGTTATGATGATGTAAGTGGTCAGACCAAGTTCAAGGCTTCTCTGATTCCCTTGCTGGGGGGTTGTAAGAAAGGCTCCCAGGTCCTTTTATTTATATCATATTGTAGATAAAACTTATTTTTCTTTGTTTTGAAATGTGTTGTCTTACTATTGAAAAATGCCCTCCTTCCAAAGACACATATCCAACTGTAGAGAGCAGGACAGTGACAGGTATCTTCTGCCTGGGGGTCTCCAAGTCCTCTGGGTGTTTTTTGCTCTTTAAATTATAAACACTGACTCTAGACCTTATCTCATGAAGGACTGTGAAAAGTTCAGTTATTTTGGAGAGTAATAAGGAGACAAGAGACGAAGAAACAACTGGGATTTCTGATTTGCTGAGTTGTCCTGAGCTGTTGTCTTGGCTTTTATGGATGATGACTCTTCCTCATTGTGTTGTCATTGTATTGAATCCTTATTAACCTCAAGTATAACAGAGCATTTAAAAATGTATAGATTATTTTAAAATAAAAATTGCAAACATTTCTATAGAACCCAAAAGGATAGGCATTAGGGAGTTCCCACTGGATGTGTCTTCTGAAATGCACTTTGTAATTTCTATTCATTCATCTATTAGCATGTCCATATTACCTCTCTCTATATAGTGTTCCTTTTTGACTACCAGGGATTTTTCTGTCAAAAATAAAGTAGTATTTGATTCATGAGGTCAGATGATTTTTTTAATGCTCTTGCTCTTTCTGCTATCTAAGAAAAAATATAAAAGGTTTGTGTTAATATGTTTGGGCTGTCATGACCAAGTTCCTGAGATTGGAGGAATTTAAACAATTTTATGATTCTAGAAAATGGAAAATATTAAATCTTGATGCCAGTAAACTTAGATTTTAATTTTTTAAGACTAATATAATTGCAACATATCTCACTTCCTTTTGCTCCATCCAGTCTCTCCTATAAACCCCTACTTGCTCTCCTTCAAATTCATGGCCTCTTTTTTCACTAATTGTGAATATATGCGTTTCTATATATAACCTGTTCAGTCTTTAGAATGTTATTTGTATGTATGTTCCCATGAATAACTACTTGTCATTGGAAAATCATTCGGTGTGCCCTTTTCTGAGAAAGATCTTCTCCTGCTCCCATGTTTTCTCAGTTACCTGTAGTTCTTTGTGTAGGATGAGGGATCATGGACTTTTCCTCATCAGTCTGGAATATCACTTAGTGTCATCCTCATTCAGTTCATGTTTGGGAAATAATGTTGGCATGTTACTACAAGACACACTCTCACAGCAAGCTCTGTGATTATGTCACTCTTACAAACTCTGACCCCTCCTTCCACAGTGTTCCCTGAGCCTTAAGTGTGATTTTGGTTTGTATATGTTTCCACTAATACTGTGTTCCACAAGTCTACACTTTGAGTCATTGTGTTTTACTGTAGTGGGCTATGTCTGTTGTAAAGAGAAGTTTCCTTGACCTAGGGTGAAGTCTACACTTGTTTGTAAAATGGAACTGACTGGAATGTCCCCTCCCTGAGGGCCAGCTTTCATGGTCAGAAGGCACCATACAAGCTTCCAAAAGAGGGTGGTAACCAACAGTCCTACCAAGTTATGATGCCAATTAACTACATCAACCAACATGGCACAATAAGCCAAGGGTGTAGAAATAGTGCCACACAAATCTTGGTGGAAAACAAAAGTTCTCTAATTATACTAAAGACCCATTCAGCAGGAGAGAAACCATGCCTGGTATTGGAAACCTAGTTTTCAGGCTGGTGAAATCATGGTTATTGAAGGATAATCTAGAACCCATAATTTATTAAACCAGCATATCCCTAACAAGAATCTATAAACAATTGTTCTTATACCTAAAAACTTAGGTTTTTATGATGGTTCTCTTCTTGGCTTTCAGGTGGCTGATTTCTTCTGATGCCTTCATATGACATTTCCTCAGCTCCCTGGTGTCTTTATGTAAGCCTCTCTCTTCCTTACCCTTCCCTTGTCCCTCCCCATCTCTACCTCTATCTCTATCTCTGTATTTCTTTTTTTCCATCTCCTTAAACCATTCTCTCTCTGTCTCTCTGTCTCTCTGTCTCTATGTCTGTCTCTGTCTCTCTGTCTCTCTCTCTCTCCCTCTGTGTGTGTGTGTGTCTAAAGAGTTTCACAGTGTGTTCCAAGTTGGCTTCAAGCTCACTAGCCCAGGCTGGCTTTAAAGTCCCAATTCTTCTTCATATTCTTGAGTGCTAGAAATATATGCATGTGCCACTGTAGGAGGGTACTGGGTACTGCTTCCACCATGAAGGTCACACTCTTCTATTTTCATTGGAACCTAGTATCTTCAAAAGCTCTATTTCCAATATCATATTAGGAGTTAGGAGTTTTGCATCAGAATTTAGAGGCAGCCTATTTCAGTCCAAAGCAAAAAGATAATTTGATTAATACTATAAAACAACATCTATCATCTATTTGTCTGTCATCCATCTATCATCTATCTATCCATTCATCTATGCAATAATGATTTGTCCAGGCATACATCTATGGCATACAATTTTTAGTCTAAGACAAGTTTCTGTGGAACAGAATAACCTCCCTTTCATGGTGTTCACTATTTTAAAAAAGCATGACTCTTACAGATATTTTTCTGGAGTTTCAAAATAAGCTCTCCAGTTTCATCATGTATAAAGATGCTAAGGAGTCTTTTTTCAGTCATGTTAGTCTATGGCATGACCTGGCTTCAGAGTTTTACAAAATTTCCCCATCTTTTGCTTCTAATTAAGCATTTATATACAAGAATTTGGGTGACACTGCTCATGATACTTGAAAATGCTTTTCAGAGTACATAAATATAATGAAGATGATTGCTGCCACTTTTTTTCTGGGGAAAGTAGGGAAAGAGAGTGAGGAGCTCAGGATTTGAGTTCCTAGATCAAGCACCATAGACATGACCCACTGCTGTGTGTTCTGCAGGATCCTCTTCTCATCCCTAGCTACAGAGTTTACATTGCTGAAAACTAAGTGCAGAATCTCATTTAGCAACTGGCTGGATTACAATGCAAGGTGAAGTTTCTGCCCTTCGGGGACACTGATATTAAAGTAGGGACATTGGTAAGAACAAATGCGATTCTAAAGTTTAAATGGCTAACTATAGTAAGACTTTGCAAATCTGAAAACATTGAACCTGGAATTCTGATGAGTCCACCACTATTTTCAGGGGAGGAGGTCCCTCAGTCCCAAGTGGGGCCTGGCTATTTATGAGAATATACCCTTATCTGAAAAGACTATGATGGCCTCTCCTGGAGGAGCTACTATGTCAGGCAATCCTGCTCATTGTCAGAGCACACTTCCATCCACCCTCATTGTTTCTGTACTATGACTGGACTTAAATGGCCACAGGCCCCAACTTTTAGGTAGAAAATGTGGCTCAGGAAACTTGTTAGACTACATGAAAAGTAACTGATATCCAACATTATGTGCTTCAAAATTATTCCTTACCTTTAATATCTATTTTTATGAATATTCTTGAGGTTTCTGTATTTATAGATTTGGAAGTTCAGATACACACACACACACACACACACACACACACAAGACTGTGCAGCTGAGTAAAATGCAAAGCTTCAGGGCTGACAGAAAAAGCAAGATTTTACCAAAGACATCAAAAAGAAGAGGTTTAGAGAACCATGGTTGTCTTTGAAGACAGAGGGTAACTGACAGTTTTTAACACAACTCATTTGGCCACAGAAAGTGAAATTGGCTCCTAATACTGACAAGGCTGTAAGTGCAGGCACAGAAGAGAGAGCTGGGGTTTCTTTCAATACAGTCCAGTTTGCCATATTTTCTATTATAATATGCACATGGCCTCCCTTCCCTGACTTCTACTCTTCTGTCTCTAGCTATGCTTCCTGTTTCACCAAGGATTGGACAGACCTAGTGCACACAGCTTCAACTCAAATGTGGGGAAAATATTAGCATTGCAGGAAAATAGATCCATTAAGTACTAAGCTGTGAAATGAATTGATGACCATACTTTGAAATACTAAAATTGATGACAAAAACTTTACAGTTTAGATAAGATTTATTTCTTCACTCCCAGAAGGTTTTGATATAGTCTTAACATTTGGCTTGTTGTCATTTTGTTTTAAAGAGGAATGCCTTCTTTGAAGATTCTGTATTCCCTTTATCTCTGGTGAGTGAATTATCCAGCAAGCACAGGTGAGAACACAGGAGGGAAGAATCAAGTGCTTAATCCTCACCTGGCTCCACTATCTGGGGTCTGTGGCTTTGGGCAGACGTGCATGTTAGTCTGAATCTTCAGATTGCTGTTGATCTCTCTGAAACCATGAGGAAGAAGTGGCATTCAGATCTTTGGATGAATTTGAGCAGGGTATATTGTTCTGCACCTCTTGCTCTGAAGCTATATTGGATAAACAGGTTACATATGTGTATGGAACCAAGCTCTGACAAGAAGCAGGATAATTATCTGGCCTTGCATCTTCTTCCTGCTGGTCTTTTAGTTTCTGGCATGTGTCTTCTGTGTCTCTGTTTCTTGTTTGTACATCGTCTGCATACGTATTTCTTCTTAAAACACCAGATTCAGAGTCTTGTTGGTCATTGCCTTGACACGGGCCTACTTGAAATACAAAGTTGTGCAATTGGTGATGTTGGGTATGTTGGACTATGGTGCTTCGTGGTTGGATGTCTTGGTACAGTGCCCTTTGTCTTAAGGATTCTCTCTCTAATAACTCTTGGGATTCCCAGTCTAGGGAAGGCTGTATTTGAAACTGCCATTCCTGTGCTTTCCAGTCTTTGTTTCTCCAGCCTTGACTTCTCCAGTCTTGGGATCCCAGGCTAATAGGCTGCCAGGATGGAGCTGACCAGTATGAACATGACCTTTCTGTGGACTGAAAACTTTCAGAGTCCCATTCCTCACACAACTGTGCTGGGGCTTTCTTTACTACCATTTGTTGTCTTTCTTGCCAATTTGGGAACTGGCTCATTGGGACTTTCTGCTCTTGGGGCTGCTGGTCTTCAGCTGGTTGAATTTGAGCTTGTTCTTCTGGAGGTTGCTCCTTATCAGATTCCTGATCTCCTTCCTCTTTTCCATTAACCTGTTCTTCAGGTTCTTCAGGGTGTAGCTCCTCTACAGATGTTTGGTCTTTGGTTTGCTCCTCTTGGGATTGTTGTGCTGGGACCTCCTCCTCTTTGGCCTGCTGCTGATCAGCTCCCTGGTACAGGAAGTGCTCTGAGGTTTGAGTGTATGCATCTTGTATCTCTGTGGTGTGCTTCTTTGGAGATAGCCAGGCTTTGATTTGCTGATCTATAGATTTCCGTCTTGATGTTTTCCTTTGTAATTCTACAGAATGTCTCTTTGAGGTTTTGTTACCTTTGATTTGCAGATCCAGGGAATGTCTCTTGGCACGGAGTTTTCCTTGTTTGTCTGGCAAGGATAAGGAAAATCTTCTTGGGGTTTTCTTGCTCATATTAGATTCCCACTCTTGAGTTAGCTCCATGACTTCTGTTCGAATGTCTGTATAAAATATCTCTGGACGATGCTGGATTTGAACTTGACTGTTTAGTGCTTGAAGATCTGAGGACGACATATCATTGGGTGCTGTATCTTGCGTCTGTGTGCTTCGGGATATTTTGTCTTGAGATAGTACATCTTGGTATTGCATTTCTTGGGATGGAGTATTTTGGAAGGGAATCTCTTGTGGTGGAATCTCTGCAGATTGAGTCTCTTGGGATGGTATATCTAGGGTTAGTGTATCTTGGTATGGAGTTTCTTGGGATGGAGTCTTTTGGGATGGAGTATCTTGGTATGGAGTTTCTTGGGATGGAGTCTTTTGGGATGGAGTATCTTGGTATGGAGTTTCTTGGGATGGAGTCTTTTGGGATGGAGTATCTTGGTATGGAGTTTCTTGGGATGGAGTCTTTTGGGATGGAGTATCTTGGTATGGAGTTTCTTGGGATGGAGTCTTTTGGGATGGAGTATCTTGGTATGGAGTTTCTTGGGATGGAGTCTTTTGGGATGGAGTATCTTGGTATGGAGTTTCTTGGGATGGAGTCTTTTGGGATGGAGTATCTTGGTATGGAGTTTCTTGGGATGGAGTCTTTTGGGATGGAGTATCTTGGTATGGAGTTTCTTGGGATGGAGTCTTTTGGGATGGAGTATCTTGGTATGGAGTTTCTTGGGATGGAGTCTTTTGGGATGGAGTATCTTGGTATGGAGTTTCTTGGGATGGAGTCTTTTGGGATGAAGTATCTTGGTATGGAGTTTCTTGGGATGGAGTCTTTTGGGATGAAGTATCTTGGTATGGAGTTTCTTGGGATGGAGTTTTTTGGGATGGAGTTTCTTGGGATGGGGTTTCTTGGGGTGGAGTATCTTGGTATGGGGTTTCTTGAGATGGTATATCTAGAGTTAGTGTATCTTGGTATGGAGTTTCTTGGGATGAAGTCTTTGGGGAGGGAGTATCTTGGGATGATCTGTCTTTAATTAGTATATCTTGGAATGACACTTCTTGGTATGGAGTCCCTAGGGATGGAGTCTCTTGGGATGTTATGTCTTGAGTTACTGTATCTTGGTGTGGAGTCTGTAGGGATGGTATGTCCTGAGTTAGTGTATCTTGGTATGGAGCCTCTTGGAATGGTATGTCTTGAGTTAGTGTATCTTGGAATTGCATGGCTTGGGATGGGGTGCCTTGGGATGGTATGTCTTCAGGAGGCAAGTCTTCAGATGTCAGATCATAAGACTGTAACATGCCGGATGATGGGGGTTTAGATTGTAAGACTTGTGTTGACAGACCTGCCATTAATGTTTGGGATGATGAACTATCATGTAACAAAGGGAGGAAATTATGTGAAGATGGAGTTTTAAGAATTTTGAGGGACGTGTTTTGGACATCAGGCAATTTGGGTTGCAGATCAGAGGTTTGACGTGTAAAAGATTCTAAGTCCTCATCATTCAGGTTATTGCTTCTAGACTTTTTCTGAGAAGGAATATTTTCTGAAGACTGTGATGTTAATGGGGGAGGTAAATCATTCAGTTTAATTTCTTCCTCTAGGGAGGGTGGAGTAGTCTCCTGTTCAACTGGAACATGCATAGAAGATGTACCCTTATCACTTTTCTGTGGGATATTTTTGGGAGCTGAAGGATTTTTTGAGACTCTTAGCTTGAAGAAAGCATAACCCCCCAAGAAAATGGCTTTTATGCTTGAAGCTGAATTATCACTGGGAGATGTTTTTTGAAACTCAAATTGCAATTGATTATTTTCTTCTGACACAGACTGTTCAGTATTTTGAGGAACTTCTGAAGGAAAGAAGAATACAGCCTGTAATACCAAGGAGAAAATAGAGTGTTAATAGGCTAGAATTGTCTTTATGTCATTTTCTTACTGTATTCTCATATTATCCTTCCTCTCTCATGTACACCAACCAGGGAGATGAAGCTCTCCAGCCTTTCCTGTCTGCTCATTAGCATTGATTTGGTTTAGTCACTATCTTTATATCCTAGATGCTAAACAAAGGGATTTGATCAAAATTGCTTCAGGATTTTTTCTAATATTAAATTTTCTAAGACATTTAAAGTATCCAGTTAACATTCACACACAAAAGTGTGAATATTACTATTTGATTTGTTAATTATTTAGGTGAACTCAATGTTGGTGTTCAAAAACAATCAGAATTTACTCTGAAAGTGCTGACAATTAAGATCAGAGTAACATATGGGTAGATAATGATAAAAATCACCCAGCACAATGCTTATTATTTAAATAGGTACTAGGTTCTGAGGAAGGAGTTAATTTACAATATCATTTAAAAGAATGATATATTCAAGAAAAATGTCGGCCGGGCGTGGTGGTGCACGCCTTTAATCCCAGCACTTGGAAGGCAGAGGCAGGCGGATCTTTCTGAGTTCGAGGCCAGGCTGGACTGATAGCCTTCAAAACAATACAGAGAAACCCTGTCTCATAAAAACCAAAAAAAAAAAAAAAAAAAAAGAAAAGAAAAGAAAAGAAAAATGTCTGTTCAAGGAGACGAAAAATTTCTATGCTGAAATCTCAAAATATTGCTGAAAGTATTTGTAAGAAGAACTAGACAAATGGAGATCAATCTCCATGTTTGTTTATAACAAGGCTTAAACTTGTTAAAAATCAATGCTATGTAAAAGATATACAGATTCAACATCACAATATATTCAAACATGTAAATAAACAAAAGAAAAATACATAAATTAGATTTGATAAAAATATGGCTTTTGTGCATTGATGATACTATCCAGAATGTAAAAAAAAGTAATCTGAGGGGACAGGGTGGGACAAAATATTTGTAGACACTACAATACAGTAACAATAACAAAGGAAAAACCTAACTAAGAAATTGTCAGGGGCCTATAAAAAGCTCTTATTCAAGGAAGATTTATCCCTGCTAATATGTGCATCACTAACCATCAGAAAATTCAAATTAGCCTTTGGGATGGTTGGATTGAACTATATCCTGATTGTGACCCCACTTAAATGGATGTGTAAAATTTATCAAAACTTATTGCATAGCATACTTTGAATTGGTGCATCTGATTGTTTAAAGTTAAAAGCAAGCAAGGAAGCAAGCAAACACTCTGCCGAGCAGAGCCCAGACTACTGTTGTAATTCAGAAAGCAAGGCCAGGAACTGCACCACAAAGTCAGAATCCTGTGCTCTGTCACACTGAATATGTTAATTAACCTCTTTCAAGCCTCTTTTAGTTCATTTTGAAGTAGAAAAAGGGTGTTGATATAGTATTAACATCATTATTAAGTTGGCACCGAGCGAGTATAATAATGTTTGAGATTATAAACCATCAGTAAGGGCATAAGCTCCCAATGCCACAATACTATGGGTTTCCCACAAAGTCCCAGATTTCCCTTTTTTTTTTTTCAGGAAGATGAAGAATTATGTATGAACAGAGATAACTGAGGACAGTAGATAGGACAAGAAAGGGAAGCAAGTTATCTTAAAGAGTCAAGAGAGCATCAGTCTTTAGCTCAGGATCCTCTGACTTTCCTAATTTAGGAATTTCAGTGTGGCATTTGAGTGTATTGCTTCTGCACAGCACAATAACAGAGGTCAATGTGGAGTGATGTTCTCAGTGTGGATGCAGTAGTACCAACCTCTGTGTTATTTGTAGCCTTAGAGGAAGGGGATGGGAAGAGACAAGAAAATCAGGATTGCTGGAAGCTTGTAGGCAAGCTGGCCTGGAGGGAACATCAGGAGAGACATTTTCTCAAGGCAACTTAGAAGGTGAGGGCCAATAACTGAGATTGTTCTCTGATCTCCACACTTACACTGTGGCATGAGTATACCTTCTCCCTCACACACAGGAACACGAACACACACACACACACACACACACACACACACACACACACACTCAGTTCCCATGACAACCTTGGGTGTACCTCTCTTGAATTGGTCCAGCACCTTCTTCTTAAGGATGCAATAGTCACAGAGATGCTAAACTCTGCTATGGTGATGATTAATAAGACTGACAAAATTCCCTGCAAAGAAGGAGGAGAAAGAAACCATTTTTAGGTCAAAAGCAGCAGCATCTTAAAAACAGAAGCCAAGAACACTTTACACCCCATGACTGAGTTTGGGAAAACTCATATTCATGCTGTTCTGTAGCTATTAAACAGTACATCATTTTCAGGTCTTTCTGGCAAGGAGTGGATAACAAACTCCCATGTCAGTAGGTCCAAGACAGTCTCTAGAGTGAAACAAGGGGTGGGGGACAGTGGAGAACAATAGCGTTGCTATAAGCATCTTCCATTTCGTTGCAATGACTTATTTCAGTGTGGGAATATACTACTCCAACACCTGTTTTTTTTCTTCTCCAAGGAAACTGGTTATGCACATTTTTTTGAACTGAAAGTTTCATTTATGTATTCCCCTATGTGTCAAATAAAACAAACCTGCAAGATGGATCTAAGACATAGACTGGCATATTGCAGGCACTGCTTTAGGTAATATTTTCATTGAGAAGCAGGAAGGTACAGTGTAGTTCTCAAAAAAAAAAAGAACTTAAGTTCTAGAGGAAGCAGATGTTGGGTACAACTGGGCCCAGGGTCACACTTGTACCGGGAAAGTGACTAAAGCTCTCCGCATCTTGCTTTCTTTTAAGCACATGCAGAAGCTTAGATAATTGCCTTGTTGCTAAAGCTGAAGTGTGTGCACACCCTGCTATGTTAAGTTCCCCTTCAGTCTGCCTTCCAGCAGGAGAGAATTGGCTCCAGTCCTTGTAAAACTTCTATCATATGCACTTGGACCAAATAGAGCAGAATTTTATCCCTTATAGTTGTTTTCCGACTGTCCTTAGGAACCCAGGTCTAGTTCTGGAGTTTTTCTCAGTACACACAAGAAGGTCTTTTGGTTCACTTCACCAGGTGGTTTCAGGGATTAAATCATGGGAGATAATTTCCCATGATTCTTCTTCACTTTTGTCCTTACTGGTTCAAATTTTCAAATTCTAGGACCCAAGTCTTCTAGATGTTGCTATCAGAAATAAACTAAAGCTCAGAGTTTGCTTTGGGAACAGAAGGAAAGGCTCATTAGAATCTTTGACATGATTGAAAATGATGCCAGGTAAAGCACAGGTGACACAGCAGGTAAAAGCACTTGCTGTCAACCCCGACAAGCTGAGGTTAGGCCTCAGGACCCACATGCTGGAAGGAGAGAACGAACTCCTGCAAGTTGTTCTCTGATGTCTACACATAAGCTGTGGCACTGAATACCACACACACCTCAAATAAATAAGTGTAAAAAATTAAAATAATTATAATGTCACGTATTACTCACTAAACAGACTCTTAAAACCTTAACTGTAGCTAGGTGGTGGTGATACACACCTTTAATCCCAGCACTCAGGAGGCAGAGGCAGGTGGATCTCTGTGAGTTCGAGACTAGCCTGGTCTACAAGAGCTAGGAGCTAGTTACAGGACAGCCTCCAAAGCCATAGAGAAACCTTGTCTCTAAAAGCCAAAAAAAAAAAAAAAAAAAAAAAAGCAAACACCCCCAAAATTTTGAGTACTGGTTCTTTCCTGGAGGGCCAGGTTTCAAGTCCCAGAACCTACATCGTGGCTCATAAATATCTGTAATTCTATGTGAAGCATTCATGTTTCTAATTTAAATAAAAAATTTAAAAAAATATCTGTAATTCTAGTCCCAGAACATCCATTGCTATCTTTTGGCTTCAGAGAACAATAGGCATGCATATGGTGCACAATCCCACATTCAGGCAAAACACCTACACAGATAAATACATAAAATAAAAGCCTTATGTATAATTATATTTCCTGGTAAATGAATATAACATTTACCATACTGAGTAAAAATGATACAATTATATAAAGTGTCTTGTGTATTAAAAAGATTAAAATATTTCACTTAAGTACTTTCTCCTACTGTATTTTGTTTCATACCAATTGAACAATTTTTGATTAACAAAAAAGTAAATTTGAATAGAATTGAAGTAATAATAAACAAGTCATTGAGCATTTATACTTTGCCAGGTGTTATTTGAAGTAATCCTCACCACAGCTCAGGGAGGCAGCTATTAATATTAATATCTTAAATTTTTACAAGAGGGAAAACCAAGATGTGGAGACCCTACAATGTTAGGTCAAGGTCACAAGCTCCCAGGCACTAAAAGTAGGAATAAAAATCAAGAAACTATGGTGAGGTCAGGGCTAAAAATCAACTGATCATTGTGTCATGGACACAGCCCGCCTAAGGCTGCTTAGACTCCTCATCCAAAATCAGGTCACTCACGAGGAGAAGTGTTGTGCCTACAACACAGGTTCCTTCGAGGGAGGGTGCCTGGCAGAATTTGTGCTGCTGTGTAAAACTGATGAGGATCAGGACAGTCCCAGCTGCTGCAACCATCGAGCTGATGATGTTCATGCTTGTGACTCCTTGTCTCTGGAAAACAGATTTAAAACATAAAGTAAACAAAAACGAAAGATAAAGATACCTCTCGGGACTTTTCTAGTTCTAGAGGCCTCATCAGGTCCCTGTGATTGGAAGGCTTGACAAAGTTCAGTTCTGACTGGTCAAAGCCAGAAGGCAAAGCATGCTGTAGAATGGGCCAGCAATACCGCGTGAAAATGTCCTTCTCATCTTAGCATAAACCATCTTTCACACCCTGGAAGGACGCGGCGCCTTGGAAAGCATCTCAACTTGGAAATTAGACTTTGTTTTGAGTCCTGCCTTCATTAGAACTTGTACCAACTATTTAATCTGTCTGGGTCTCAATTTCTACTTTTAAGAATGAGAATGGGGATGGGAGGATCAGAGGGAGAAGGAACTGGGATTGATATGTAAAATAAGATTGCTTCTAATTTAAATAAAAAGGAAAAATAAAAAAGGATGAGAATGACTTTAGTATTCATTTATTTTCTAAAAATTTAGTAGTGTATGCTAAATGTGTATCATTACCACATTAGGCCCCAGATCTACAAAGACTCACATGGGAACTGACAATTCACCATCTGACTCACTTATATTCCCCAGGAAGATTCAAATGATGACTAACAAAACCACATGGGAGGCATAAAAAGCTGATTGATCCTGTAATTTCTTTTTTTTAATTATTTTATTTTTTGAGATTTTCCTATGTGAGTATTGTGTTTACATCACCTCCCCACACCCAACTCCAACTTCTCCCATGTTCTAGTTCTATCCCTTCACTCCTCAAATTCATGGCCTCTTAATATTTAGGGATTATTTTTCACATATATGTATATATAAATTTATAATACAGCTTAAAGAGTTAATTTAGTGTTGATCATTTGTATGTTTGTTTAGGATTGATCTCTTGGGATTGGATCATCTACTGGGGGCTTATCTCTGGAGCAAATCAATTGTCCCTATCTCATCAGTCATTAATTGTAGTTCTTCAGCTACTAGATTATAGTTCTAGGGGTTGGGCCTTGATATTTCTCTTTCATGCTGGCATGTCAGTTGGTGTCATTTTTCAGATCATATTTAGGCAACCTTGTTGTTGAAGTCATGGGTGCAGATTCCCTGTCGTATATTGAATATGCAATCTTGTAATAGATGCCCTGCTCCTCTTATTCTTACAGTCTTTCTCTCCCTTCTTCCATGATTTTCAATGAGCCTTCAATGTAGTGGTTTTACTGTAGATATATCAGTTAGTGTCGGGCACCCTCTGCTTAATTCCTTTTATTCATTCCCAGTATATTTGATGGGAGGTGTGTGTGTGTGTGTGTGTGTGTGTGTGTGTGTGTATGCGTGTGTGCGTGTGTGTATGCGTGTGTGCGTGCGTGAGAGAGATTCTTACAAGAAAAATGTGTTGTCATATTATTTTATTTATATTCATTCTTGCTTTTTAAAAAGAAAGTGTCATTTTATAGTGTGTCTACAGTACCTCTGTTGGCTGCATTATGTCTGCTAAGGTTGGAAATGAAGCTATGCATTTACGCATTCCCAGAGCTGTGTGTAGTCTAGCTTGGCAAGACTGGAAAGTGCCCTTACAACTGTTTATCCTAAACTGAGATCTTTATTGAAAACAAGTGGTTTTGGCAAACAACAAAGCAAAGCAAAACAAAACAAAAAACAAGGAGCATGCAAATCTGTCAAGCTCTCTTCATATTAAGTCCTTTGGTCTTTCCAGTGTTTGTTTTGGCCTCTACAGGGACCATTAACAGACTAAGGTGTCTAGATATGTGATCCCTCATGCAGATCATGCCTTACAAAGAGCACAGCTCTAGTCTGATCCTTATTAAGGGATTATGATGTCAGGTAGACACTTGCTCCCTGTGTTTTAGAGATGCATGGGATTAGGAACTAAGTGACTGTGAATCATTCCATGCTTGGTGGAAAGGCTGTTATGGAAACCAGATCTGCAATCCCACACTCATGTGTCATGCTATGCCTTATTCCATCTATAAGGCTCTCCACGAGGCACAGATAACCTTTGACTATGTCTCAACTCTGGAAGAAGACACCATAGGGACTGTCAGTACTTATCTCCAGAGGAGCAGATGGAGGCATTCATCCCTTTCCTTAGGATCTCACTAGGGTTTGTAACTGTCCCTGGCTGAAGGCCATGAAAACGGATCCAGTGACTAAGTGGAAACCCATAGATCTAGGGTTTTCTGCAGTGATTAGATGAGGGTAGGAACATTTTAACATCATCATGCATTTTATAAGTAATATCTTAATCTGCAGAGTAGCTCTTAGGTAATCTCCCATCAAGTTGACAGATCAATAAGAGTCACAGCTCTGACTCAATCCTACAACCATTTGGCATCAGTGTCACTCTGTATGTCTGGTCTTTGGGAAGGCCTCTGAGGAAAGCCTCTCTTGGCATTGGAGGTGGGGCTGGGGATAGAAAGTGAGGGTGACAGGGTCTGCGATGGGTTTTGGTTGAGGTAGGGCTTCTCAACTTTGAGACTAGACATTTTGGTCAGATGATTTTTCTATTGCAGGAGACCTTCCCATGCTTCCATTGTTTTAAAGGGTATTTAAAGGGGGATGAAGAGATGACTAAGTAGTTAGGAGCACTGGCTGCTCTTTTAGAGGGTCCAGGTCCAGTTTCACATAGTGGCTTACAAATATCTGTGACTCTAGTTTCAGGGGATCTAGCCTCTGTTGGTACCTCTATTGGGTACCAGGTAAAACACTCGTACACATAAAATAAAAACAAATAAACCTAAAAAGAAAAAGGATGCTTAGAGACAACCCTGGTTCTTATTGTATAGCTGCCAATAGTATACCCTACCTAGTTATGACAATCAAAAAATATCTTTGGACATTGTCAACTATTCCCCCATGGAAAGAGAAGGAACAAAACTCTACTCCCAGTTAAAAATCATTTAACTACAGCAATGTAGGATGGTTCCCAATGAGTAACTTTCAGTTTGCTTGCTCAGAGAAATAGGAGAAAAGGAAAGAATACAGGGCTAAACCACCCACAGATTGTGTTTGAACCACAAACTTGTTGCAGAAAGATCTTCCCAAGAAACCCTGAAGCTTAAGGCCAAAGCTCCTAGAAAGCATTTTAAATCAGGTAGAAGTAATAAAAACTACTTACTAGAATTTTTCTGGATTTATCATTGAACACTGTGACGAATCCTGTCAGAAAAAACTGTCCAGAAGACAAGAGGCAATGGTTAACAGGTGATATTTAATCTGTCTACAACAGTCTCCTTTGGGTTTTCAAACTAACTATTGGTACTCCCTCTCCTCCAGCATCTAGTCTTTCTAACCTGAGTGTTAGGGAGGAAGGTTCTTGTTTTATTTCAATCTATAGGGGTTGGCTTTGGCACCTGAGGACACTTGGGTCTTAGAATCTAAAATCCTTATGCTGCAGTATAGACATTGGGAAGTTACTGTTGGTGCCGTCTTCTGCTCCACCTGGCCCATCCTCCTCCAGGTCCTCCTCAAAGTCCTTTTGTCAGTGCCTCATAGTATCACCTTTCTTCTTTGGGCAATTGCAACCCCTCTCCAATTATTTTCCCAGAATGTCTGTCATACTTGAATTCGTTTCCCACGCAAAAACCTACAGCGTACTCTAATGAAAACACGCCTTCCAACAAGAAGAAAAAAAATCAACAGACACCATTTGTTCATATATTGAAGTTACACATGTCATGCTCATTGCTACCCTCTTCACAGTAGCTAGAAATGGAATTAGCTCAGATGCCCTTTAGATAACAAGCGGACAGTGACTAGGTGGTTCCATTTTATGCCACAATCATGCACTCTTCTCAGCTGTTTTTTTTTTCCTACGATACACCCTTAGCTAGTATCTTTTGTCATAGCCAGGGGATGCATACATTCCTTTTCCCCAAGCTAGTGAGAATCCATGTATGAAGCACTTCCCTGCCCCTAGGGCTAGGTGGGTCCTCCAATAACCGTCAGACAGTTCTTTGGAGCATTTATGGTAAGTGTAAAAACATCTTTCACATTTCTCAGAAAGGGCTTTGTTCAACAGTACTTACAGACCTAGGACATTACCAAGAAGATGTAGTTGTGTGCCCAATAAATGTCTTTACCATGCAGAGTGGATTTTTCAAAAACAATAAACAAAACCTTACTAAAATTCACACCTGTGAATCTCACAAATCATACTTGGAGAAACTGATTGGAGAATGAGGAGGTAAAGACGACTTCCATTTGGTTCTTTATAGTCGAGTGAGTGTAGTTTAGAAATCAACATCATGTTATTTCACTAGGAAAATGAAATGTCATTTGTTTTTGAAATACAAATATAGAAATGGCACATTACTGGTTTTTAATAGAGATGTGGTTTCATTAATTCTTTATTTCAGTTTTGGATTTATTGATTGATCCATGCATTCATTCATGTATCTCATATCTCAAGCATGATTTTAATTTCTGAGGATATAAAAGCAAGTAAAACAGACCCCATTCTTCCCCTCTTATATGTTTTGATGTGAGATAGTCTAGTAAGTTTACCCTTAAGTGTGTAGCATAGGATTCAGAACCAAGGGGTGAAAGGTTCAGTGGAACCAACATTGTAGTAAGAACAATTATTAATGGCTCTATGGTTCCCTGTGAGTGGCAGTCATGAGTTCTCTGAGGTAAGAAGGGTGCTGAGCTATGGTGACCCTCAAGTTTTCTTCTTCACTGAGTCCTATTCTGTGAGTGATAGCTGTGTGTGTTCCTCTTTTCACACTCACTGTGTCTGCACATGGTAAAGTAGGCTATCTACCTTTTTCATTACCCAGGTTGGTACTGCAGGATGTACTATGCCCATGGGCTTTGGAAAAGCGCCATGTACCTAGGAACACTCATCACTATGAGGGTGGTAGACAATGGCCAGTGGAATAATATGGAGTCATTTCTTTTGCCAAGGAGTGTTCTGCCTGTTTGGTGTCCCAGAGGGGGGCACACTTATGAAATGTATTGTCATAGAGCTGAATCCAATTCACATTAGTCTTCATAGCAATTTCTGACAAGTTCTTAGCAGATTGTACTTACAATAAATGCTCCCCAGAATGGATATCCTGTGACCATCACGAGAGGAAATTTTTTGGAGAAAAAGATGAAATTAAATGCTAATATAATCCCAAGGCCCACAATGATCAGAGAAAGAAGAATCTGGATAGCCTGGAAGGAGAAAATGGACATGAGGTAACAAGAGCCCAGGTCTGTGGGCTGCCCCAGACACACCTCTTGCTGCAACTACACCAATATAAATATTTTCCATGTCTCCATCATGATGAGTCCCTCCCAATTTAAACTCTTCATTCTTGTCCTTTTCTGTTTCCCAGAATCACCAGTATATCTTGTCAAAGACATATTTGAATTCATGTGTGACTAAACCTAGACTGCAAACTTCTTACGGACAGGCCCCACAAACTAGTCCCATACACCTTTCCTCCTCTCTCACACTGACATCTTGATTATCTTCAAAATTGGCCTCCACATTGTAAGTGCTAAGTGAAGTCATTCCTTGGTTTTCATGGGAAAGTGAGTGGGAGGCTTGGTTCCAGGACCAAAATCTGAGGATGCTTAAGTCTCTTATGTTAAAAATGTCATAATATGTCCTTGTAAGAATGTGCATCCTTTGGGTATATGCCTAAGAGTGAAATTGCTGAATGTTGAGGGAGACTAATTGCCGTTTTCCTGAGGAACTGCCATACTGATTTCCAAAGTGGCTGTACGAGTTTGCACTCCTGCCAGGAGTGTTCCCCTTTCTCCACACCCTTTCCAGCATAAACTGTCTTTGATGTTTTAGCCATTGCATCAGGTGTAAGATGGTATCTCAGAGTTGTTTTAATTTGCATTTCCCTGATGACTAAGGATGTTGAGCTCTTTCTTAAGTGTCTTTCAGCCATTTTAGATTTCTCTATTGAGAATTTTCTATTTAGTTCTGTACCCCACTTTTTAGTTGGATTGTTTTGTGTTTTTGTGACTAGCTTCTTGAGTTCTTTGTATATTTTGGAAATCAGCCCTCTGTCAAATGTGGGGTTGGTGAATATGTTTTCCCATTCTGTAGGCTGCCGTTTTGTTTTGTTGACTGTGTCCTTTGCCTTACAGAAGCTTCTCATTTTCAGGAGGTCCAGTTTATTAATTGTCAATCTCAGTGTCTGTGCTACTGGTATTATGTTCAGTTCAGGAAGTAGTCTCCTGTACCAATTTATTCAAGGGTATCTCCCACTTTAACTAGGGCCCCTGAACATGGGTGACAGTTAGGAGGTGTGGGCAGTCTATGGAGCCTCTTGTGGTGAAACCAGTATTTATTCCCAGTGCACAAATGGAATTTAGGAGCACATTCCCCCATAGAGGGATACTCTCTCAGCCTAGATATACAGGGGAGGGACTAGACCCTGCCCCAAATGATGTGATAGACTTTGATGATCCCCCATGGAAGGCCTCACTCTCCCTAGGCAGTGTATAGGGAGTGGAGGGAGGTCGGGGGGAGTCATGGGAGGATTGGAGAGAGAGGGAATTGGGATTGATATGTAAAATAAGATTGTTTCTAATTTAAATTTTAAAATGTCATAATATTTGTACAAAATGTACACAAGTCCTCTTTGTACATTTTTTCCAGACAGGATCTCCTGAATTCTAAACACTCCTCAGTGTCACTATGGAGCACAGGATGAACTGATTCCAACCTCACTATGGAGCACGATCAACCTCACTATGGAGCACTGGATGAACTGTCCCTAGTGTCACTATGGAGCAAAGGATGACAGAAATCATCAGACTCTCCTGCTCCCACCTCCCAAAGCTGGGATGGCAGGCTTGTGTCACCACGCGCCTCTCCTCCTGTGAACTTTAAATTGTCTCCTAGAATGGTAGTATGCAATGTATCATACACCCAAGCACCGGAAACATCTAAGCATCACCTGCCTAGGAGTGAACAAAATACTTAACAGATTGTAAGCAGGAAGTAGCTGTTGTACTCTTTGCAGAATGTCTATAAGAAAACAAGCTATACATGTTCAGTATAGGCATAATTAAAAAGCATTTTCATCCTGTGTTGTTTGAACCCATGGTTATGCTTCCTTTAGACCTATATTCCACTGATGGACTTTGAACTCACCTTCACTGGCTTCTGAGTTCTGTGAGAGGCACTGCCATACCCTGGAGCTACTTCCTCAAGAATATATTTAGAAAACTTACATAATTTTCTGCTTCCCCCATGTTGGAAATCAAATATCAGAACTAGCTCCCCATGAAACAGCCATAGGACCTCCCTGGATTTAGGTGAGTTACTGGACTATTCACTCCTGAAAGTTACTTAGTCCATCGCCTCAGAAATATTTCTGCATCAATGGCTCTCAGACAGAGCCAAAGCAAACTGTGTATTGCACTTCTAAAGACAGCTTTTGTTTCTATATTTTAAGTAAAATCTAGGGAATTGGCACATAATAACTATTCTCTTAAGCAATTGACTTAGATGTGCTGCCTTTTATTTTTTTGAATATTTCATGAATGTAAACAATGGTATTTATCACCTTAACAGGTTACATTCTTTTATCATCCTCCCATCCATGGTGACCTTTTCTTCTTTCCTACTAGTCCTTAATTTTCATGTCTTTTTGGTGACTTGCTGACTTTAATTATAGTTGCTTATCAAAGCAGGGATGTGGGGTTATTTATTGGAGCATGGGAAAAACTTGTCAGTAGCTACAATTTTAGAGAAAATTATCCATCTCCTTGATGCCCCCCAACAACCATTAGTTGTCAACAGTTCCTCTGTGGAGGGTGGAGATAGTGAGCTTCCTTGACTGTAGGATACATTGCAGATGAAATAAATGCCAGGGAGGAAGGGAGACCAATGTTATTGTTATTGTTGTACAAAGCCACTTCTGTAGACAAAAATGGAGATGACACCCCCTTTCCCCATTCTCGGGTGATCCATGATAAGGCATAACTCACCCCCAAAACTTTTGGCTCGCCCTTCAGGAAATCCAGTAAAGAGTTATGAGGTCTGTAGGGAAAGGCAGTCATGACAGTTTCATCTGGATCTATAGTGATGACATGGGCCCTTCTTTTCTTCTCAGTTGCTGACTCCATGATTCAGTGGCAAAGCTCTGTTAGGAGAAGAAGTAGAAGGATATTGCAGCCATAATAATGATGTATTTCTCCCCTAGGGCCACATGGAGTCCACCACAATGAGCCCGTAGCAATTGCATAGTACTAGAACCACAGAATCCCAGTCATTGAGTCATAGAATCTGAGAATTCTAGAGTGTACCAGCCTTCTAGATTCTTGCAGATGAAACCTGGAGAACTTGATCTATTATCAGCTTTCTTAAAAAGCATATAGTAAACACAAAATTAGATAGATGGTACACATAAAACAAGTACACATATACATACACACACATATATATGCATATATACACACATGCGAATGTATTTCACAATTATGCTCTGTTACTCTACCAAATACTAATTACACTTATACATAGTTTGAAATTTTGCTTTTCAGGCTAATCTCTTATATTCGTGTATTTTTCATGATTTCAACTGCTAAATCACCAAGGTAAGCAGATTAAGAAGGCCAAACATCATACATCCAAGAATCATCTCAGGTAGTTCCTAGATTGCAGCAATCACAAATACCTTTGCATGCTGTTGTTTGAACACACTAATTCTCTGGAATTTTACATGAACTTGCTTATGAAGTTTAAAGGAGCCTTTGGGGCGTCTGCTGTGTCTCAGGCACTGTGTTAGGTGCTTCATTTCAATGTGCATTGCAGTGGCACATTTGGCAATGAACAGTGATCAAACTGAGAAGCAGAAAGGTCAAACTGCCAAGGAATAGGTGAAGGATGCTGTCCTTCTATCTCCAAAGCCTGTGCTTTTACTGTCAACCATACTTCCATCCTTTTGCAAATGGAGTTTCCTTCTTTTAGGAAAAATATTATTGTCTAACAGTATCTTTTAATAGTATAAACATAGTGAATTGTGACTAAGTTTTCCAGATTTTTAAAGTATATTAAAAACATAGAGTGTTCAAAGTAATATTTTAATACACTGTATAATGATTACTCTGATGAAGGCGGTTAATGTATCCATCACCTTTCATTGGTACTGTTTTTCCTTTTTTCTTCTTGTGGTGAGAAACTTTTAGATCCACCCTCGGGGCTGAGAGTGATTAAGAGTTTGTACAGAAGCTAAGTAAACAATCGTTGAATGAAGAAATTCAGAATTGGTGGGAATCCTGTGTTGTGAATGTAGCCACGTGGGTGTGCATTCACGAGGGTCCATGAAAAGAAGACTCAGACTCAGACACACTTTTAAGAGAGTCATAGGTTAGAAGACAGATCTGGCACCAGTGAGACCTCTAGCAATCTAAAAGGATGACACCAACTGGCAAGCTAAGCAATAATGGAGAGACTACATTAAATGCCCATTCCTGATAATGAACTTGACAACTACCTTATATGCCATCCTAGAACCTTCATCCAGTGACTGATGGAAGCAGAGGCAAACACCCACAGTTAAACACTGAACTGAACCCATGGAACGCAGTGACAGAGAGAGAGGAGCAATGAGCAAATGGGCAAAGAATGGGCTGGCAAAACCACTAGAGACAGCTGATCTGGACAAGGGGGAGCTCTTGGACCCTAGACCAACAGCTTGGAGGCCAGCATGGGACTGATGCAGATCCCCTGAGTGTGAGAGTCAGTGAAGAGACCTGGGCAACTTGTGGGGCCCTGGGCAGTAGATCAGTATTTATCCCTGGCCTACAAATGGACTTCGTGTGTCCATAACACAAAGAGGGATGTTCTCTCAGCCTGGACTCTTAGGGGCGTGCCTGGACTCTGTCCTGAGCGAAATGACAGAATCTGGATATCCCCTATGTGAAAGGTAGTGGGGATAGGGTGGGAGGCTGGTGGGGGGGACAGTGGGTGGAGTGCGGGAGGAGGGGAGGGAGATGGAACTGGGATTGACATGTGAATCAAGCTATTTAAAATTAAAGCAATAATAATAAAAAAGAATGAACTTAGCCTTTCACGACTGCAGAGATCTTTAGCCTCAATGGACTGAGCTCTTTCCCTACACCCAGGGCATTTTTATTTTTCTCAATATTTACACTTTAGCCAGTTGATTACCATATGCTCAGAACACCTTGAATGAGGTCTCCAAAAAGACAATGCCACATCAGAGTCTCAATTCATTGATTCATCAGGTTTTCTGCCCAGCTGGGGTTAGGGCTAGTTGATTGCACTCTGGCACAAGGCCAGTAGGGTTTTGCTACAATCTTGGCCAGCTACACATCTGACAGAGGATTAATATCCAGAACCCTAAGTCATGGAAACAAATGATCCATTTGAAAAATGGGCAAAGGATCTAAACAGAGAGAAATAAAAATGGCCAAGAAATTAAAAATTGTGCAAACTTGAGATTTCCTCTTCTTCCAACCAGAATAGCAAAGTTCAGCAAAAGAACTAATGACAAATGCTGGTGAGGTCATGGAGAAAGGGGTGTCTTCAACACTGTTGGAAATGTAGATTGGTGCAGTCATTCTGGAAATCAGTATGAACAGTCCTCAATAAACTAAAAATAAATCTACCCTATGATCCAGCTAAACCATATGTCCTTTGACATGTTCAAATGAGCTGACATGCTACTCCACAGACACTTCTCAGCAGTGTGCATTGCTGTTCTATTCACAGCAACCAAGAAATGGAAGCCACCTAAATGTCTTTGAAGAGAAAGTAGGAGGTACCCTCAAACGAATTGGTACAGGAGACCGCTTCCTGAACATAGCACCAGTAACACAGACACTGAGATCAACAATTAATAAATGGGACCTCCTGAAACTGAGAAGCTTCTGTAAGGCAAAAGACACAGTCAACAAGACAAAATGGCAGCCCAAAGAATGGGAAAACATTCACCAATACCACATCTGACAAAGGATTGATTTCCAAAATATACAAAGAACTCAAGAAGCTAGTCACAAAACACCAAATAATCCAATTAAAAAGTGGGGTACAGAACTAAACAGAGAATTCTCAATAGAGGAATCCAAAATGGCTGAAAGACACTTAAGAAAGAGCTCAACATCCTTAGCCATTAGGGAAATGCAAATCAAAACAACTCTGAGATACCATCTTATACCTGTGAGAATAGCTAAAATCAAAAACACCAATGACAGTCTATGCTGGAGAAGATGTGGAGAAGGGAACATTCCTCCACTGCTGGTGGAAGTGCAAATTCATAGTCACTTTGGAAATTAGTATCGCGGTTCCTCAGGAAAATGGGAATCAGTCTATCACAAGATCCAGCAATTTCACTCTTAGGCATATACCCAAAAGATGCACATTCGTGCAGCAAGAACATCTGTTCCACTATGTTCATAGCAGCATTTTTTTGTAATAGCCATAACCTAGAGGCAACCTAGATGCCCCTCAACTGAAGAATGTATGGAGAAAATGTACATTTACACAATGGAGTACTACTCAGCGGGGAAAAAAATAGAATCTTGAAATTCGTAGGCAAATAGATGGAACTAGAAGAAACCATCCTGAGTCAGGTAACCCAATCGCAAAAAGACAAACATGGCATGTACTCATTCATATATGGATTTTAGACATAGAGCAAAGGATTATCAGCCTACAACCCACACCCCCAGAGGCTAGGAAACAAAGAGGACCTTAAGAGAGACATACATGGTCCCCCAGAGGAGGGGAAAGGAACAAGGTCTCCTGAGAAAATTGGGAGCATGGGGGGAGGGGAGAGGGAGTTAGGAGAAAGCGAAGGGTAGAAGAGGAGGGGAGAGGAGGATATGAGGGAGTGAGAAGACAGAGTCAGAGGAAGAATGCAGGAGCAAAGAAAAGAGATACCATAGTAGAGGGAGCCATTATAGGTGTGAAGACAAATCTGGCACTAGGGAAATATCCAGAGATCTACAAGGATGACCCCAACTAACAATCTAAACAATAGTGGAGAGGCTACCTTAAATGCCCTTCTCTGATAATGAAATTGATGACTGCCTTGTATGCTATCCTAGAGCCTTCATCCAGTAGCTGATGGAAGCAGAAGCAGACACCCACAGCTAAACACTGAGCTGAACTCTGGAATCCAGTTGTAGAGAGGGAGGAGTGATGAGCAAAGGGGTCAAGACCAGGCTAGAGAAACCCACAGAAACAGCTGACCTGACCAAGGGGGAGCTCATGGACCCCAGACTGATAGCTGAGAAACCAGCATAGGACTATTCCAGACCTCCTGAACATGGATGTCAGTTTGGAGGTCTGGTTAATCTATGGGGCCTCTGGTAGTGGATCAGTACAGGAATGAACTTGGGGAGCATGGGACTGATCCAGACCCCCTAAATTTGGGTGTCATTGAGGAGAACTCAGCAATCTATGGGGCCTGGGGTAGTAAATATGTATTTATTCCTGTCTTACAAATGTACTTGGGGAGCCCATTTCACATGGAGGGATGCTCTCTCAGCCTGGACACATGGGGGAGGGCCTGGGCCCTGTACTGGATGACAGACTTTGGAGATCCCCCCCATCGAAGGCCTCACCCTCCCTGGGGAGCAGAAAGGGGATGGGGATAGGGGGCTGGTGGGGTACAGGGGAGGAGGGGACAGAGACGGAGCTAGGATTGACTTGTAAAACAAGCTTGTTTCTAATTTAAATAAAAAAGGAAAAAAGTAACGATATATGGTACATATACAAAGTGGAATGCTATTTGGCTTTAAAGAGAAATGAAAGCATGAAACTCGCAGACAAATGGATGGACCTAGAAAAGATTACAACAAGTGAAGGAACTTAGACCCAGAAAGGCTAATAAGTTATGTTCTCTCCCATCAGGGCTAGTGAGGTCAGGATCTTAGAATAAAACTACTACCTCCACTTTGCTGGATCAGCATAATTCCTAACCACAATATAAATCTTGCCACAGATAAGCTACCAATGTTAATCAAAGAATCTTCTCTTGGAGACTATCGCAGAAAACCACACCTGGACACAATGCAGAGATCAACTGATGATGGAAACCCAGCTCCAGTGAACACATCTCTATCATGGCTCCTGCATCTCTGTCTCAAGGAACATCTCAGAAGAGTGGGTAGAAAATCCCAGAACAATTCTTCACTGACCTTGAAAGAACAATAATCAACTTTGTATGGAAAAACAAAAGACCCAGGATAGCCCAAAACAACCTTATTCAACAAAGCAACATCTGAAGGCATCGCCATCCCTGACTTCAAGCTCTATTATAGAGCTATAGTCCTGAAAACAGCTTGATATTGTCACAAAAATAGAAAGGTAGACCAACGGAATCAAATTGAACACCCTGATATTAACTCATACATGTATAAACATCTGATTTTTGACAAAGAAGCTAAAAATATACAATGGAAAAAAGAATGCATCTTTAACAAATGGTGCTGGCATAACTGGATGCTAGCATGTAGAAAAATGCGGATAGATCCATGTCTATTGCCATGCACAAAACTTAAGTCCAAATGGATCAAAGACCTCAACATAAATTCAGCCACACTGAACCTATTAGAAGAGAAAATGGGTGGTACCCTTGAATGAATTGGTACAGGAGACGGCTTCCTGAACATAACACCAGTAGCACAAACACTAAGATCAACAGTTAATAAATGGGACCTCCTGAAACTGAGAAGCTTCTGTAAGGCAAAGGACACAGTCAGAAGACAAAAGGGCAACCCACAGATTGGGAAAAGATATTCCCTAACCCCACATCTGACAGAGGCCTGATCTCCAAAATTTACGAAGAACTCAAGAAGCAAGTCTCCAAAACACCAAAGGATCCAATCAAAAAATGGGGTACAGAGTCAGTGAGGAGGCCTGTGAAACCTATGGGGCCCTGGGCAAGTGGATCAGTGTTTATCCCTGGCATACAAGCAGACTTTGTGTGTCCATAACACAAAGAGGGATGCTCTCTCAGCCTGGACTCTTAGGGGAGTGCCTGGACCCTGCCCTGAGTGAAATGACAGACTCTAGATATCCCCTATGTGGAAGGAAATGGGGATAGGGTGGGAGGCTGGGGGGGATGGTGGGGGAGTGCGGGAGGAGGGGAGGAAGAGGGAACTGGTATGGACATGTAAAACAAGCTATTTAAAATTAAAATAATAAAATAAAAATTGGGGTACAGAACTAAATAGAAATTCTCAATAGAGGAGACTAAAATGCTGAGAGGCACTTGAGAAAGTGCTCAACATCCTTAGCCATTAGGGAAATGCAAATCAAAACAACTCTGAGATACCATCTTATACCTGTCAGAATGATTAACATCAAAAACTTCAAAGACAGTTTATGCTGGAGAGGATGTGGAGAAAGGGGAACACTCCTACACTGCTGGTGGGAGTGCTGACTTGTACAGCCATTTTGGAAATCAGTATGGAGATTCCTCAGGAAAATGGGCATCAGTTTACCACAAGACCCAGCAATTCCACTCTTAGGCATATACCCAAAAGATGCACATTCATATAATAAGGATGTCTGTTCCACTACATTCATACCAGCATTACTTGTAATAGCCAGAACCTGGAAGCAACCTAGATGCCCCTCAACTGAAGAGTGGATAGAGAAAATGTGGTATACTTACACAATGGAGTACTATTTAGAGGAAAAAAACAATGGAATCTTGAAATTTGCAGGCAAATGGAAGGCACTAGAATAAACCATACTGAGTGAGGTAACCCAGTCACAAAAAGAGAAACACGGTATATACTCACTCATTTACGGATTTTAGACATGAATCAGGGGAGTGCCAGCATACAATCCCACTGCCAGAGAATCTGAGAAACAGAACCTTCATGCAGCAACTGATAAAAGCAGAGGCAGATACCCACAGACAAACACTGACCTGAACTCCTGGAATCCAGTGTCAGAAAGAGCTGATGGGCAAAGGAGTTAAGAGTGGGCTGGTTTAACCCACAGAAACAGTTGACCTGAACAAGGGGGAACTCTTGGACTCCAGATTGATGGCTGTGTGGAAAGCATGGGACTGACCCAGACCCCCTGAGTGTGGGTGCCAATGAGGAGACCTAGGTAATCTATGGGGGTCTTTGAGTGCCCGTGCCACAATATGGGAGGCTCTCTCAGCTGGGACTCTTGGGGGATGTCCTAGGCCCTGCCATGGATAAAATGACAGTTATTTTATAACCACCATGACAGTTATTTTATAACTACCATGGAGTGCCTTACCGTCCTTGGGAATCGGACTGGAGATTGGGTGGGTGCCTGGGGCATCTGGTGGGGAGAAGGAGGGAGGAGGGAGAAAGAGCTGGGATTGACATGTGAAACAAGATTGTTTCTAACCTAAAGAAAAAAAGGATTGAACAAAAAACAAATGAACAACAACAACAAAAAAGAAACAAAGCAAAAGAAGAAGAAGAAGAAGAAGAAGAAGAAGAAGAAGAAGAAGAAGAAGAAGAAGAAGAAGAAGAAGAAGAAGAAGAAGAAGAAGAAGAAGAAGAAGAAAGATTGTAAGAGGCAGACTACCAGGATGTCTTCTTGAACAAGATCTGAACAATGTCAGCATCAATAGACATGCTAATGTGGAAGGGGGCAAAATCTCATGGGGTTCTAACCCTCGACAGAGAACTACCGCAACTAATGACTTCTAAGATAGGAAGAGTTAATCTTTCCTAGGGATGAGTTCCTTAACTGGTTGTCCAATATAAAGGATCAGCCATTTTATTATGGCTATACAATAATAATAAATACTTATTATAATGATTAATATTTTGTGCATATGTGTGCATCTATATACCAATGGCAATCAGGAAGGAAAAGGCTATCAATTTTGGTGTGAGGCGACATGGAAGGAGTTCAAGGAAGGGGACTTGGGAGGGGCTAGAGGGAGGAAAGGGAGGAGAGAAGTGATGCTATTGTATATTTTTAAAAACTTTTTATCGATTTTTTGTGGATTTAACATTATGCATCCTGACCCCACTCATCTTCCTCTGCCCTTCCCTTACCATCTCACTCCTACACGAAATACAATTTTAAAATGAAAAGGGAAAACTAAAACAAAATCTTATTATGGAAGCTGTAGTGTGTCACAATGAGTCACAGAGTGTACCCTTTAGTCCACATGTCATTGCTTACAAGTGTTCATTACAACAAGTCATTGGTCTGTTTCAAGGCCTCTGGATTCTGCCACACTGTTGACACTGGACCCTCACTGGAACTTCTCTTGGATATCCTTTTGTTGTCCTGGGTCATGGAGATCCTGCAACTTTGGATTTGCAGGTCTGGCCCCTTAACATACTCTAGCAGTACACAGATGAGGTGGATGTTGGGATGGGCTAACTCATGGCCCTGGATCTAGGTGGTAGCTGCATTGGTCAGCCCACCAGCATGCCCTCATTATGCCATGACATTATATTTTAATTAAAATGTATAAAATGGTGATGATGATGATGATGAAAAGAAAACAAAAGAGTGTGTGCTGCTCTTTCAGAGGGCTGGAGTTCAGTTTCTAGCACTGATATCTGGTGCCTCATAGCTACCTGTATAGGGCAGCTGACACCTCTGAGGCACATGCATATATGTACACACACATATGGGTGCAAGTGTGTATATGCAAGTGAACAACACACACACACACACACACTAAAATAGTGAGTCCAAGAAAAAGAGATTAATTCTCTTTACATTCTGCTTTCTGAGTTCTCTATAGATTTTTGTTGTCTTTTTTACTGTCCTCAGGCATGTAGGGGACTGGTCTATGTACTGTTGCATTTCCATAGTATGTCTGTATGTTTGGAAATCCTACATATTTATTTCAATTGCGCAGTTCTCTCTGGGAAGCAATATTGGAAGCTCTCTTTCTTGGGTGAGCAATGTTGATTTTTCCAATCTAGGATTGAAGTTGCTGTTGCTTTCTATGTCTGATGGCTTATTCAGTATAGTACTTACATGAGAGAGTATATCATGATTAATTATAGTCTTTGAATTCAAATAAAAATTAAAGTCAATGGGTTGGGGATCTAACTCAGTGGTAGAGTGTTTTCTTAGAAAGTGCAAGGTCCTAAATGCAATACCCCATTCCTAATATATGTGAAATCATTAAGTGAGACAGAAATAAATCATTTTCTTGCAACAGAGTCTCACTCTGCACCCAAGCTGACCTTGAACTCAGGGCAATACTTCTGCTTCAGCCTCTCAAATTCTGGGATTACAGGCATGAACCATCATGCCTGGCTATGATTTATTATTACTTTTCATTGCTGGGGATAAAACCCAGGTCCATGCACAGGCTGTCACATTTTTCAAAGGGATTGTAAATGTTCTAGTAATGTATGATGTCTAATATTTAAGCAACAGAAATGTGTAAATATCACAGAGAAAGAGCCTACCCAGATGCATGACCTCATCAGCCCCCAGCATTAGAAGGACTGCACACTTTCTCATCTAACTTCAGACAGATGAAACACTGTCTGTTCACTCTGTTTGGAGAAGTGTATAAAGTCTGTGGTCATTGTGGAATGGTGGATCATAGAATCTTGCTGACTTGGACTTGGAGGAAATGATTTTCTTTGGAAATGAAGTGACTCATATTGAAAGCACCACAGGAAAGTTTTTCTTCAAAAGTTTATTCAGATCTACCAAGGCTGAGATTTCAGGAATGTCTAGCTGTGCTCTGCCAGGAGCACTGGATTTCTTCCTTCTTCTTCTGTATTTCATATCCATGGCCTCAGCGAACTGCTTTTGACAACTTGGGAATGATCTTGTGACTCAGGCATGAAAAATGCACTCTAGAAGGATAACACTTATTAATAGATTTTAACACTTTGATTTGGGGAGCAGGGTTTAAAATATTTCCTATGTTTCCCTCAAATACAATGATATGTATTATAATAATATTTTATAGTAGTACTTTTGCAACTCTATCATAGTATACAGTTGCAGCAATAGAAGTTCAAGCAAATTTCACCCTCAGTTTCCTCATTGTGTTGTTTTCTTGTAGCCTTGAAGTTGAATCATAATTTTCTCAAATTACAATATTTTCATTTTGTAGCATTTAGGAGAAATGAAAAGTTTGAAAACATAACATAAAAACTAAGAAGAAGCAAGGGGAAGAGCAGAAAATCATTAAAAAAAAAGAAAACCAATGAAGTCTTGGTAAAATCACATTACCAAGCACTTGGCCGTGAAGGCAGATGTCAGTGTGCATGATAAGTACAACGCAATGTAAACTCTGATTCTTCCCTGTGTACCTTTATTTAAGTTTTGGTTCATTCATGAACTTTCACGAGCTAATGTCTAGAGTCAGCTAGTTTCTTGGGGGGAGGGATTCTCTTTCAGTGCTGCTGCCCTGTAGGCATTATCTGATCCCAGATGACTATTCAATGAACTCTTATTTTCATTATTAAAGTCACTTTCTAGTTGGTCCTTTGGGCCTGTATCATTGCAGCTCAGAGTGGGGAGATGACAGGTGTCACCGAAATAATCAGAGACCTTACCTGAGGCTTGTTGGAGTAAACTTGCTTCCACCAAACGACAGAACTGTATGCAGCTAGCAAAAGCTCCAGCACAGTGAAGATGAGCATCACCACCAGCCCACTCTGAAAAGCAGCACAGGCCTGGGTGAGACCCTACTGAGAGGAGATGGGGGCAGGGTGGGGCGGGCATTGAAGCCCTCAACCATGGAGACCAGAGGAGCAGAGACAATGGCTGGATCTTCTCTCTGCTTTCTCTTTCAGGTTTCTTATCACACAGAGATAAGAAGTAAGAGTGACTGGCCATCTGTCTCTGCTTGTTTTCACCATTTCATTTGTCCGATTTTCTTTTTTTTTTTAAGTCTTGTTTGCTTTTACTTTTTCTCAGAGGCAGTTATTATTACAAACTATTTTCAGGGCTGGGGAGATGGGAGAGTGGTTACAAGCATTTGCTGCTCTTACAGAGGACCAGAGTTTATTTCCCAGCATCTGTGTCCTACAGTTTACAACAACCGATAGATCCATGGGAACCAACACTTCCTTCTGGTGTATTCTCACACAGATACAGACATATATACATAAATGAAAACAAAAAGGTGAATTCCTTAGCAAACTACTTTCAAAACCATTGTCTCTCAATTCACATGTAAATGAGTATATAATAGTTTAAAGGAATAGAAGATTAACATATGTAGATGAGAAATGAGCCTTGCCAAAGATACTGGAAATGAAGGGTGAGTGGGTCGTACTATATTTGAGACGGAGAAGACACATGAGAAGTCAAGAACCAGGATCAGCATACTCTGATCTCCAACCATGATGGCTCCCCAAGACTGCAGGCTTCCTTTCCCCAAGCTCTTATATCTAGCCCTACTATGTACCTGTGACCACCCCCAAGCGGGCATGGACAGTGGTGCAGGTGCCTAAAATCTCTCCCTACAAACCTGGGTCCAAATTAAAAGTATCAAGTTTAGTATTTCTTGCTGTCTATCCATAACACCACTTTGTGGAAATTTAGATGAGAATGGGCTCCATAGGCACATAGATTTGTATACTTATTCACAGGGAATGGCAGGATTTGAAAGGATTTAGAGATGTGACCTTGTTGGAGGCAGTATGTCACTGGGTATGGGCTTTCAGGTTTCAAAAACCTAAGCTGGGTCCAAGGCTTCCCTCTTTTCCTGCTGTCTCTGGATCCTGATGTAGACCTCTTAGAAATTTCCAGCACTGTGTCTGCCTGAGTACTGACATGTTCCCTTCTGTGGTAACAATGGATTTAAACCTCTAAAATTGTAAGCTAGTCCCAATTAAATGCTTTCCATTATAAGAATAGCTAAGGTCATCCTATCTCTTCAAAAAAAGCAGAACACTAAGACCATCTTTAATTCATACTGATTCTACTGTATGTAACACTGAACCATTTTATTTATTTTTTCTGTTTTGTTCATAAAGTTTTCTGTGTGAAATAGCTTTTCCAAGAATGCAGGAAGATACATATCCTAGAACTTTTCAGAAAGTGTGTTTTTTTTTTTGCCTAAAGTCTGATATCTTCCTAAAACGCCCTAAAATATGACAATATAATATATACAGGCACATATAGCTAAGACTAGTTTTTAATTTGTCTCTGTGTATGTGGGCCTGTGAATATGAGGTAGGTACCTGGGGAGTATGGAGGATGGCATTAGAGCCCCTGGATCTGGAGTTAAAGGCAATTACAGAACTCAGGTCCTCTGCAAGAACGGTATGACATACTCCTGATCTCAGATTGTGTCCTATAGGCCCAGCATGTATCCTTTTGAATTATCAAACTATGAGAACCTGTGTTTGTGGGCTACAGTTACAATCAGCAGACTTGCTCTATTCTTAGTCCTTGGTGATTTTCATTCATCCGGTTTTTAGGTGTGGATTCAGATTCACTTACCTATAGGGTCTTCCCTGGGTTCCTTCAGTGTACAATTTCGTATCTTCGAATTTGAAAAATTCTCAGATAATTATTTTTTCATAGTCTCCCTTTCCTCCAAACTTTTCTATTAGAACTCATGTTCATGTTCAACTTTTCCTTGTAACTTTTAGCATCTGTGTCATTCACGTTTTTTCAAATTTGATATGGTTTAATGAGATATTTCCTCAGATGGATTAAATCTACGTTTTACTGTTTTCAGTTCTTAATTTCTAAGATTTTTTTTTCGTTGCTAGTCACGGTTCCTCTTTATCAAGTCCCCCTGACTTTTTTTTTTATCATACTGTCCTGTTCTTGGGTTTTGGTTTTGTCCTAATCAGGGTTTCTATTACTGTTGTAAAAATCCATGACCAAAAGCACCTTGGGTTAATTTCAGTTTACACTTCCAGGTAAGAGACTGTGACTAAGGGAAGTCAAAGTAGGAACTCAGGGAAGAGCCTGGAGGCAGGAACTGAAGCAGAGGTCATGGAGGAACATTTACTTACCGGGTTGCTCAGCCTGCTTTCTCGCAGCATTAAACAGAATTGAGTGTTTTCCTCATGTTTCTCATATGTTTATCATTATATAGTTTAAGTGCATATGCGATGGTGAAGGTATTGGTGTGTGTCTTCAATATGTGAGAATCTTATAAATGGGATTTGTTGATGTGTCCCTAGACAGCTGCTTTAAGTCTGACTTTGTAAGGACCTTAGGAGTATCAGGGATACAGAAGCAGTTTTAAAACCCCTTTATCAGAAGCCATCCTAGCATCGCTGGAACTGTGTGTTTAGATATGCCATCTGCACTGGGTTGAGTGAATTGAGGGCAGGGATGTGTGAGCCTTCTGGGGGTGCTGAGTACCATTTCCTGTCAGACTGTCTCAAGTCAAATGACTTTTCAATCTCTATTTCTAATACATTTGCAGAGCTCTTGGTGTGTGCAGAGGAGCCTAACAACCCTGAACCCTTACCCTGGGTGTTAACAGTTTTGGATTCTCTTCCCTAACACCTGTTTCTGTGCAGACTCGCCCAGTTTTCTGCTCTGATGACCCTTATTAGCTTCTGCATATGTCATTCTTATTTCTTCCTTCTTCCAGCTCCTTCTTTATTTTTTTCAGTCTTAAGTACACACACACACACACACACACACACACACAATTACTTCTTTGTTCAGGTTAATGCTGCATTTATTAAATATTAGCATCCCTTTGAGGTTGGCTTACTCTGCCATGTTGCAACTTTCCTAATATTGAGGAAGTTCTTTTTGGCTCTGCTTGTATGAGAGTATCAGACAATTTGAATTACTTAAATGAATACTAATTAAAACAATCCCTCAGTATCCCAGAGGGAGAAAGATTCTTTCACATTGCTTTACTCTGTCTGTCTTGCAGTGTGATCTCCTGGACTTTCTCAGGCTCACTTCTATCAAGATAAGCCTCTGTTCTTCACTTCCTCAGCACTTTTGATCTACTTAATGGTCAGACTCATAGAGGGATGTGAGTCCAAAAAAACGTTCACACATTCTCCAAGACTCCTAAGTCAGATGGACACCAGAGAATGAAAGATAGTGGCTTGGTCATTCATTGCTTCCATTAGGAGAAGTCATGAAGGAACAAGGAACATTGTTATGGTTTAGACACTATAATCCTACATTTAAAATGGACTAAGCCAGACTCGTTACTATCAGTAGGTGGTGGCTGTTAAATTTGGGTGAAAGGTGCCAATGAAATTCTGTGCAGGAACACTGATGTTTTCACAGGAGTCGTATCTACTAATTGGCTGCCTCCTACCCTCTACCCCTCTTTGCCAGCCCTGAGCAGATATGTACTTGAGGGAATTAAGCACTTGTGATTACTCCAAGTCTCAGAGTACATGTGACCAAAAGGCAAACATCTCTAATGGGTGAATCATTCCAACTCCAGGCAACAACCCTAAAGAGCTTCCCAAGTTCAAGATCAACACAAATAACAAAGAATAGCATTACCTATTGTGACTTAATAGTCTCCATTGTTTTTTCTCCATCTCCTTGCACTCTTCCTCTCTTTCTGCTGTGTTTCCTGCATCCCCCAACACACAATTTGCTAACTTTCTGCCACATGTGTTTGTTTTTTTTCTGTCTGCCCCAGACAGTCAGACCAACAAAACCAAAGATTGCTGAAAAAGCAGAAATTGCCCACAAAGCAGAAACTGGGGTTTTACTTGACAAGATATTTAGTCAGGAATTACTTACCACGGCACTGACATAAGCAAGGAGACATTTCTTGTCTTCATTCATCCAATGGTGGGATCCCGAATAAGGCAATAAGGACAGAAATTCCTTTTCTGAATTACAGTGTAGAGAGGCAGTCCTCATGTCTATGAGGCTATGGGTGAGGAGGAGGAAGCCAATTGTAGCAACAGCCAAGCTTGCTGCATTGGAGGCCAAGCTGCTCAGTGCCTGGAAGAGAGGCTCTGTATGGGGTTCTCATCTCAGTCTGGGTACAGGATGCTCCATTCCCTTTGCCTAGTATACTGCAATGGTACTTTATTTCCCCAGAGTAGTTTATAATATAGTCTGTGGCCTCTTATCAGGAAGACCATGATAATTTGCCTTCGTATTGCTCAGCGCTCTGCAGTTTGTCACATGAGACAGTCAGAAAATGTGTCTTGAATGGGAGAATGTGAACAGCTCCCCACAGTATGGCTTCCTGACTCTCCATGACACTGAACACCAAGGTGGGGCGCCTCAGCCTGCTGCCAATATCTCCACTGACTTCCCCCAATGCTCTTAGAGCTGTTCTTTGAAGATCTCTTACACTATGGTCTTTGGCATCTTCTGGAGAACCCAGACTATAGTTTACCTAATGTAAAGAAGCAGCTTTAGAGACTAGTGAAAGTTAACTGAAGAGTTTTGATAACCTGGAACAGTGGTTCTCAACCTTCATAATGCTGAGACCCTTTAACAGAGTCCCTGCAGGGAGATCATGCCTAAGGGAAGACAGTGCGCTTTCATCCAACAAGCATCTTCTTTCTTCCTTTCAAAAAAATGCTAGAGGTATGGGTGTGTGGGCTTAGTCCCTGTGACTCTAGCTATGCCCACCCTTCAATAACACAATGAGTGGGTAGTAGCTTTGAAAACACAGTAGGATAAACAGTAACACTGTTGCCTCTGTAGGTAGCAGGCCTCCCTACCTCCTGCCACATACTCTCTGACTTCAGAAGCCATAGGGTTTGGCTAGCTATGGCTGAGAACACTAAGGTGGTGTAGGAGCTGACTCATGCCCCAGATGACTGAAACTGTAGTATAAACCCAGGAGTTGTGCAGTGGTTGAAGAGTTCCCTGCGTTGGATGGGGTCATGATCCTGGTCTTGGAATCAGGAAATGTAGACTCTCATCTCAGCTGTTACTAATCTGTGTGTGTGTGTGTGTGTGTGTGTGAGAGAGAGAGAGAGAGAGAGAGAGAGAGAGAGAGAGAGAGAGAGAGACAGAGACAGAGACAGAGACAGAGACAGGGACAGAGACAGAGACAGAGACAGACAGAGACAGAGAAAGAGACTGAGACAGGGAGACAGAAAGAGAAGAGACAGAGAGAGAGACACAGAGAGAGAGAGAGAGAGAGAGAGAGAGAGGGAGAGAGAGAGAGAGAGACCAGGTAAGTGCCTTTCTACTCTGGGTTTCAGTTTTTCTCCCATCATACCTGGAAAATGAACACATTTACTTCAGAAGTGATGTCCCAAATGTGTCAGGAGGTCAGCCTAAGAACATATGCTCCCTAACCTGTTCTGAGTTTCATTTCCCTAAACGGTGCAATGGAGGGATGGAACTAGAAGAATTAACTATGAGGTTCCAGCTATTACAAACAACTGGAGATTGGTGTTCATACTTACAAAAGGTTTGATTGAGATCTTTCCAGAGATTATTGAGAGAGATCCAGCAATGGCAAACTGTTCAGGAAAGAGAGAGAGAAAAGAAAGAGTTGCCCCAAGCTGCTTTCAAGTCACTCACAAAAAGCAATGTGAAGTTTCTAGGGAGACAGCACTACAGGAATGGCATGTCCATATTTCTAGGGAGGCTTCATATCTATATACTTGGGATGGTTATGCTGACTTTAAAGAATAGACACCTGCTCAGGGATGTTGGGTTTATGTCATTATAAAGCAGTAATTGCAGACAGGATGTGACAAATTCCTGGGAGATGCTACTAATATTGAAAGGGGAGGTTGAGGAAGATCAAAGTCTTGAGACTTGAGACAATATTGAGACAAGGAAACCAACAGAAGCACCTAGGAAGGAGCTTCTCATGTGAAAAGAGACAGAAAAATATGGAGTTGAAGCTATTAGTGTAGGTTGAATGGGTATTACTTTGAATATAACCGCCAAGAAGGCAGGCAGTATTTGATCACAGTGGTACTTGGGGCCCAGCAAGTAGAGGGATGGTGGTCTGGGAAGCTGAAACATTGATTATGCCTGTGGCATGAGTATTGGGTTGTCACAGATACTGAGAACCAAAAATGAACTAGTAGGAGCTTCACTACTGAATTGTGGAGGCTGCCACCACTGGTCAGACAGTGAACTCCAGGACAAATTGTGCTTTAGGAACAAGAGTAGACCTTTTTGCACACTGTGTAGGTGTGTCCAGGCAGGGACTATGGTTACTTTTGTAGATAGAACTTTACTTACACACAGGGATCCAACAAATGGGTACACAGTCATCAAAGTGGTGAAGGCTGCTGGGTTGAAGTAGGAAGAGTAGGAAGCTGATACTAGAATACCCTCCAAGCTTGCAATTGTCAGGGCACATAGTATCTGGATGGTCTGTAATAGACAAGACAGGGACTTCTAGAACATGCTTTAAGTAGATGCAAATGATTATTTGAATACACACTGACTTATAAGGATTGTAAAATAGTTATGATGTCCTGTGTTAAAAGGTGGGAAAATCCCTCAAAGAAAAATAAGCCTGTTCTAAGAGAAAAATAAAAAATTTACCTCTTTTTTTTGAAAGGCTCTTTAAACTCAGGAAGTGATGATGTGAATGCTGTAATTCTGAAAAATCTACTTCACAAAACATTTCCTTTTTGGAAGAGTCACTGGGAAAAGTTGTCTAGACTAGAGCATTAGCTAGGTGAATAAGGAGAAGGACCTTCCCCCGGAGTGTAGATGCATGCCTCAGCTTTAGCTGAGCGGCATTGAGCATCTTATTCCCAGTCTTGTCACTCATCCTTTTTTATTTGTCACTTGAATTTAAGAATCATTATGATTGTCATGCACCAGGTGTCAGACTAGTTTACATGTTTAAGGTGTCAGCTTTGTCAGCAATATTGCCACATCTGTAGTAAAGATGAAGAACACGAGGGAGTTAAGTTGCACAAGGACAGACTATAGATATTTTTAAAAACCCACAGCATCCTAATGAGTAATTAGGGGAATGTAGATAAAAGTTGATTCCAGATTCCTTCTCATCCCAGTCAGACTGGCTATCATCAAGAAAACAAATGAGCACTCATCTGATGATGATGTGGAGAAAGAGGAACTGTTAAATGCTACTGTTAGGAATGGAAACCAGTGTGGCCACTGTGCAAATCAACATGGTGGTTCCTCAAACAACTACAACTAAATTAGAGCCATATGATCCAGATGATGACTCCTGGGTATATCCCCAAGGGACTCAAGGTCAGCATACCACAGAGAGGCCTGCACATCCAAACTCATTGCTACACAGTAGTCAAGGCATGAGACCATTTAGATGTCCATTAGCAGATAGAAGGAAAAGCAAAATGTGGTCTTTACGCACAATGTAATTTTGCTTTACCATGAAGAAGAATAAAATAATGTCATTTATTGTGAAATGACTGGAATGAAGGATCATCATGCCAAATAAAATAAGACAAGAAAACACACACACACACACACACACACACACATGCATATATGCATAACATGAGAATAGAAGAGGCACTACTAGGGGAGAGTAAGTGGTCCGAGAGGTGGAAGATAAGAGAAAACAGTGAGAGGGAAAATACAAACTCCATGCTCTCTTTTGTGTACAGAATTTGAAGCTGTGCACTGTATTGCACACACACACACATGCACACATATACATACACACACATGTGTGCTCACGCCTGCATTTAAAAAACAGATAAAATCTTTGGGAGAGAATGAAAACCACTGAGAGGGTGGGAAGGAATCAGGAGCACAATCATCAGGCAAATATGAATATATGTACATATAATCCTATATATCTGTCTATCTTTCAATGTATCATCTATCTATCTATTTATCTATCTATCTATCTATCTATCTATCTATCTATCTATCTAGTTAGCTAGCTATCGCCTGTCTGTTGGAAGCAGTGGTAGTGATATAAGGGCCAAAGTCTTGGTATGCAGTTAGTGAAACAGTCATCATGAGTTTCTAAAGTGGGAATTTCCAGGGCTGAGAAGACAGCTAAAAGATTGATCTCACAGTCCTGAAAAGCAAAGACAGTGCTAACTTCCTTTCAATGACCTGTGGTGAGAATTGCTGATGAAGTGTCCTCTGGAAATAATGTGCTGCTGACTCAACAAAGAAGAGTCATTTGAAAAAAAAGAGGGATAAAGAATCTAATGATTAAGATTTAAGATGTAGTAAATGTTAGTATTCAGGCATTTTTACTGGCCTGCCTTGGGATTCTGACAAGATACATCCTCAGCTGCAGCCACTAAGAGCAGCACCTGTGCACATTCACAATGTTCCCTTTTAAAAGGGAGCCCTCCCTCTCTCTCTCTCTCCCTCCCTCCCTCCCTCCCTCCCTCCCTCCTTGCCTCCCTTGGTACCCCCCCCTCTCTCTCTTTCTCTCTCTTTCTCTTTCTCTCTCTCTCTCTGCTTTCCTGCCTGTATCTCTGTCTCCACCCCCTGCCTCTCTTCTGCTGCTCCTGTCCCAGAGGCTGGTCTTCCTCCATCCTCCTCTCTTTCCTTTTCCCATTCCATTTCCCCTAAAAAGAAAAGCCTCTACATGCTCTGCCGAGTGTCATCTTTCTGCCTTACACCGCTTTTTAAATTGCAACAGTAAGGGATTATGCTAGTATAGCTAATGGGCTATAGTAGATTTTTTTAAAGATCCATAACATTACTAGCCTTAGGTGGCTGGCTAGGTTCCCATACCAGGCATGCTCAGTCCACCTGAGGTCCAATTAGACAGCTGTTGGGTGCCACCGATATGTGAGTGCCGCTTATTTCGCCTCTATTCACATCTTCCTATGCTAGACAGTTATGGGTCATAAGTATTGCAGCTGGGTAGGGCTGCTTGTTTCCTTTCCTTGGCACAGTATTTTCTGCAACTATTGGAACTAACCCAAAGGAAAGAAGCTTTCAGACCCATCTTGAATCACCTGAGTCCTGAATCCTAAGTCTGCATGTCTTCAACAGTAAGGACCTTCCCCAGAACCTGAGAAGCAACCAAGGGGCTACATCTATTACCTATATTGTTTTGGGAGTCTACCCTGCCCAACCACTTGAATAGATGTTTTTTGTTGTTGTTGTTTGTTGTTGTTGTTTTCTTTTTCTTTTTTTTTTTTTTTTTTTTTGGTTTTACGAGACAGGGTTTCTCTGTATTGTTTTGGAGGCTGTCGCTCCAGCCCGGCCTCAAACTCACAGAGATCTGCCTGCATCTGCCTCCCTTGAATAGAGGTTTTAATTCCATTTCAATTAAACTTATTTTTTTAAAGGGTATGATGGAGTTAATAGAGCCTGAATCCCAGAAGACACATTTGATAAGGTGTCTGAAGATGGATCTTAACAGGAAATATTCAGATCCTTACGATGAATAGGTTCCTGCTTATGAGGGATCGGGATATTGATACTGGGATGTCTCATAGAAGCCCATGTGGACACAGAGAAATGTGAGGATGAAAGAAATCCAGATGGTATCATCTGAAAATGTTTGGAAAACAAACCTCAAGTAAGAAGACTGAATTTAACCAGACCAAATAAAATCATATGGCTAAGTCATAAATCTGCATTAAAGACAAATGAGAAGAGACTAATTTCTTAGTTATGCAGTGTTCTGCTGAAAAAAACACAAGTGGTTTTAATTATTTAGTTAAATGAAAGCTCTAGGAGAATGTGGTTTACAAACAGCTACATTTCACATTCTTGTTAGATTGTAGAATCAGCCAGAAACAAGTCAAGGATGTGCCCACACCCACTATTGATGTGGGATGTCCTTCTGTATGCTGCGAATGTGTGTTGCTTTTATTCTTTGATGAATAAAGCTGATTCGACCAATGGTCAGACAGAATGTAGCTAGGCAGGAAATCTAAACAGAGTTATAGAAAGGAAGAAGGGAAAATTGGGAGATGCCATGTAGCCACCAAATCAGTAAGATGCCACAGCATTACCAGTATGCCATGGCCATGTGGTGATACACAGATTATTAAAAATGGGTTAATTTAGAAGAGAGAGATAGCCAGTAATAAACCTGATCCATCAGCCAAAAAAGTATATTTAATATTAGCCTCTGAATGATTATTTCATAAGCAAGCGCAGGGACCCATGAGCAGAAGAGAAATCAGTCCAGGCAGACCAACACAACAGAGAAAAACATTCAACTACACACTATAGCTCCATAGCATGGATATGATCTTAATATCTCTGTGTGTTCTTCTAATGAGATGGTCTTACCCCAAGAACTGTGGTTTCCTTAGGCACACCAACCAGCTGGTCATCTCCTTTTTGGTGGTCGTGTCCAGCTTTCTCTCTTTTGTGAGTAACGATGTCCATTGGAAGGCAGGCCCCTAAATCCTCTTGATGCCAAGTCTGATACTGATGATACTAGAAGAGGCACTGAACTCATTAGTTCCTAGGGCTTGACTGACAGACACTCACAGGCACCAGAGTCTGCAGGGAGTGAAGAAGGATGACTTTTCTTTAGATGAGAATTGGGTACATTCAGGGTGTGACGACCATAGGCTGGCTTGTGTTCTACAAACACAACTGGATCTGAGTTTCAGGAGTAGCATAGGAGAGCTAGTTTGCTTGCTGTACTTCATCCATGATAAAAAATAAATGGGCTATTGGGGAAAATTGCAAACATTTCAAGGAACCCCACAGTTTGGAGGCTAGTAATTCAAACAGAATTTGCTCTGTAGCCCTGCGTGTATCCACCTCACTGCCTGTCCCACAAAGCCTTTGTTTTAGCCTCCTTTCTCTTCCTCTTGTCCTGATCCTCTATAGTAAATGCTCTATCACATCTCCCAGAACCTCACACTGTAGCTGCATTTATGCCCTCTAATCCTCCACTATTCATTTCCTCTCCATTAGATTATTGGGTGAGTCTATAAAAAGAACATGTCTAATCCAGAATGTGCACTACATTTTTTTAAAAAAAAAGCTCAGGCTGAACTCCAGGCACTAGAGAACCTAAAGTCTTAATCGTTCTAAGGGTCTTATACCCTAGATGTTAAGTATATTTCATATATTAGCAACTTGGAAATAATAAGTTCATTTCATTAACTGAAAGTCACAAAACCCACTTTCCTGATGCATCACATGTGTTTAATACACTGTAGCAAATATAATTATTGTTTGCCTAACTTGCATGTACCTGGGCTGTGTCTACTGGGCTCAGGATCTTGCAATATTTTCTTCTATGCAACATTAATTCCTTTCTCCTTGCCTCTTCTCCCGATATTAACAGTTCCACTCCAGGAGAAAACAATGCTGCACTGAGTCAACAGTAGCAAACTGAACCCCAGAACCTTGTTACTAGTGGGGGGTGGGGTGGCACTGCAATGGAAGTGGAATGCTGGTTGCATCTGGAGCACTGGCTGTCACTCGCGAGTGAAAAGTCTGCCCCTACAACTGGCTGTGATGTTGGGGAAGTGTGTTAAAGGTGTCTCTTTCCAGAAGTTCTCCCATATTGGGAAACCTGGATTTTTGACTTGATTTTTGTTGTTAAATGCATCAACACAATTCCTTTAACCAATCTTACTACCCAGTCTATCTGGTTCTGATTTTTTCCCTTGGGTTTGCCAGGACTCATATCCAAGAACTCTAAGCCCTATGTTAGGAACTGGAAGCCTGGCTGATTCTCTCTAGTTTGTCAACAACTTTCTGTTGTTATTTTAAAATTAACCAATTTGTTTTTTTAAATACCATAAAGCAATAATTTCAACTAAAAAGAAATAAAGTTTGCATGAATCTAAATGTTCTGGGCTCCTCAACATTTAGTATGAAATCATCAGTTTCATAGTTAATTTTTTCCTCTTATAGCTTTTCCCTCCTCTTATGCATGACTTTACCCAAATTAGAACATTATACAAAAAGTCATTCCATCCATTTAGAACTTTTTTTTCACTGATTTGTCAGTGGACATGTTTGACTAATTAATCTGAAGGTCTTAAGTATAAAAGTCAAATGCTAGATTCTGACATGCCACGTAGAGGACATGGTTCCACTTGGCAAAGATGAGCAAGTTCTGGAGCTGGAAAGTGTGAGGGTGTCACAATATGAATGAACTTGATGCCACTGAACTGCACACTTCCTGTGGTTGGAATGCCACAATTATGTAAACAGAGTTTAACTCTAATTTAAAAATCCAAACGAATGTATATTTCTGGATTCATTAAATCTGACATGTTCATGATCATTTTAGTTTTTCTGTTACTCTTTTTTACTGCTATGAACAATGTTGTAGGAAACATCTATGCACTTTAAAACATTGTAGAATTTATGCTAATTTTATCTATTAACATATCCTTATGACAACATATAGAGGGTTTTTTTTTTTTAGAATTTCACCTATTGTACTTTTTTTGGAAATGTGTAGTTATTTTAGGAACTACTACTCATAATGAAGCTCTTTTTTTTAAGTTTTATATGTCTGCCAACTGACACCATTGCCTCCAAATCCAACAATGGAGAGGATGCTTTGTCCATTAGCATTCATTATAACAAGGTGAAGTGGGAGTGGCCCACAGCTTTCAAAACAGGTTCAAAAACTGCTACCATTCAGGCAAACAGCTTTGCAGAATCCTTTTCTGTGGTATAATATTAGGTTATAATTATAGTTCCCAAATTCAACATTTGCTCACACCCCAGTCTTCATCAAGAGCACATTTGGTAAGACTGAGTGGAGAGCTTTAGAAGGGCATCACTTCAAATCTCAGGTGAAATCCAAGGGTTGTTTGCTTTTGGACAAGTAAACAGAGACCCAGGTGGGCATCTGACTCACCAGTTCATGCAGGTGGTCAACAGAAAAGTTGGATATGAATCTAGTTCCCTGACAGTCAATCCAGAGCACAATCTCCCCCAGGGGTTAGAGTACAAACCAAGCACCAGGTGGTCAACAGAAAAGACAGATGAGAATCCTGTTTCCTGCCTGCCCATGTGAAGCAAATCTCCCCCGGGGGTTCTAACCCATTAAAGCACCTACCTGTCCTCACAGCTCTGTCCTGTGTGCTCCTGTGCCTGTTCACTCAGGTCCTGGGAGCTCTCAGGCTTAACCTCCCACCATCTGCTCCCTCCAGAAGTTTCACTGCCTGCTTTCGACACTCAGGCAGTCTGTGTGTTTTCCCCGGAAGGTATTCATGACTACTCAGGATGTGAATTTGCAGTAATTACAAGCAGCTAGCAAATGAAAATCTGCTCTGCTTCCCCTTTCTGAATTTTGAGGTTTGGGAAAATAACACAAAATAAAAGCATTTCATGAAAGAAAGAGTTGTGGGCCCATTGGAAATAGTGCCCTGCACTTCTATGTGGAGTGAAACAAGCACATTGGTTACATTAAGTCTGTCTTCTTATCTGCTAAATGAGGAATGGATATTAGTAATTTGGCTGTTGCAGAATTAATGAGAAATGAAGTAAAGAGTTTATAAAAGAGAATTATTGCTAATAACAATGATACATTTAGATTTGAGTGAATTTCAATTTTTTTGTGTAATCTTTCTAGACATTGAAGAAATAAATTGAAAAAGATACCAGAAGATGAAAAGAACTTCCATACTCATGGATCAGTAGGATTAATACTGTGAAAATGGCCATCCTACTTAAGGTAATCTACAGATTCAAAGCCGGGCGTTGGTGGCACACTTCTTTAATCCCAGCATTCAAGAGGCAGAGGCAGGCGGACCTCTGTAAGTTCGAGGCCAGTCTGGTCTACAGAGCGAGTTCCAGGACAGCCTCCAAAACAATACAGAGAAACCCTGTCTCGAAAAAAAAAAACAAACAAAAAACCTACAGATTCAATGCAATCTCTATCAAAATTCCAGCACCATTTTTCAGCTTCATATAGAAATACAAAACAACTCAGTATAGTTAATACAATCCTCAATTAAAAAAACAAAACTGTTGGAGGCATCACCATCCCATATTTCAATTTGTATTATAGAGCAATAGTAATAAAAACAGCACTGCATTGACATGAAAAGAGACATCTCAATAAATACAATAGAATTGAAGACCCAGACATAACTCCACACAAGTATGGACACCTCATTTTTGACAAAGCAAAACAAAAAAATACATAATAGAAAAAATATAGCATCTTCAACAAATGTTGGTCATACTGGTGGCTTCAGGTAGAAGAATGAAAACAGTTCCATAGATCTAGTATCCTGCACAAAAGTCAACTCCAAATAGATCAAGGATCTCCAGTGAGTTGATTACAAAATCCTTAGATCTTTTTAAAGAGTCCAGTTTTCCAGAAGGGTAAGTGACTCATGGGACAAGGAATGTTTCAATGATACAAGGGTTTTCAAGTTCCCTCCCCAAGTTGACTTCAAGATTTGGAACATCTCAGGTCCTCCTTGGGAGAGTTTACCAACAGTCCTCTTTCAGGTTCTCTGTAAGCTGAAAGGGCCAGTGGAAAATCCCTGCTGTTCCTACTGGGGATTCTTCTCCATCTTCTGACTTTGAACAAGCATTTTTGCAGGCAAAATGCTCCATGGAGCCTTTGGAAATGATGGTAATGGCCAGCTAGTTGGAAACTACTCTTAAGAATGAAACCTCAAAAGCTGCTAACAAAAGAGATATTAGTTTCTTCCAGTGAAGTCTTACCGAGTATACAAACCACACTTAGGGAAGGCCCCATACGCAGCAGTGAACAGCTGAAACAAAACAAATGGTATTTTTGGAGATGTTTTTATCTCATAATGCTTTATTTAGGCACCTTTTTAACCTTTCTAGTCTTTTGCTTATCCATTTTGTTTCTGATTTTTGTGTTTTTACGTGTTTTGTGTATGTGGGTATGTATGTCTCTGTATATGCATGTGGGTATGTATGTCTCTGCATGTGTATGTGGGTATGTATGTCTCTGCATGTGTATGTGGGTATGTATGTCTCTGCATGGGTATAGGGTATGTATGTCTCTGCATGTGTATTGGGTATGTATGTCTCTGCATGTGTATGTGGGTATGTATGTCTCTGCATGTGTATAGAGTATGTATGTCTCTGCATGTCTATGGGGTATGTATGTCTCTGCATGTGTATGGGGTATGTATGTCTCTGCATGTGTGTGTGGGTATGTATGTCTCTGCATGTGTATTGGGTATGTATGTCTCTGCATGTGTATGGGTATGTATGTCTCTGCATGTGTGTGTGGGTATGTATGTCTCTGCATGTGTATTGGGTATGTATGTCTCTGCATGTGTATGGGTATGTATGTCTCTGCATGTGTGTGTGGGTATGTATGTCTCTGCATGTGTATTGGGTATGTATGTCTCTGCATGTGTATAGAGTATGTATGTCTCTGCATGTGTATGGGGTATGTATGTCTCTGCATGTGTATGGGGTATGTATGTCTCTGCATGTGTATTGGGTATGTATGTCTCTGCATGTGTATGGGTATGTATGTCTCTGCATGTGTGTGTGGGTATGTATGTCTCTGCATGTGTGTGTGGGTATGTATGTCTCTGCATGTGTATGTGGGTATGTATGTCTCTGCATGTGTATGGGGTATGTATGTCTCTGCATGTGTATGGGGTATGTATGTCTCTGCATGTGTGTGTGGGTATGTATGTCTCTGCATGTGTATTGAGTATGTATGTCTCTGCATGTGTATGGGGTATGTATGTTTCTGCATGTGTATGGGGTATGTATGTCTCTGCATGTGTATTGGGTATGTATGTCTCTGCATGTGTATTGGGTATGTATGTCTCTGCATGTGTATTGGGTATGTATGTCTCTGCATGTGTATAGAGTATGTATGTCTCTGCATGTGTATGGGGTATGTATGTCTCTGCATGTGTATGGGGTATGTATGTCTCTGCATGTGTATGGGGTATGTATGTCTCTGCATGTCTATGGGGTATGTATGTCTCTGCATGTCTATGGGGTATGTATGTCTCTGCATGTGTATGGGGTATGTATGTCTCTGCATGTCTATGGGGTATGTATGTCTCTGCATGTGTATAGAGTATGTATGTCTCTGCATGTGTATGGGGTATGTATGTCTCTGCATGTCTATGGGGTATGTATGTCTCTGCATGTGTATGGGGTATGTATGTCTCTGCATGTCTATGGGGTATGTATGTCTCTGCATGTGTATAGAGTATGTATGTCTCTGCATGTGTATGGGGTATGTATGTCTCTGCATGTGTATTGGGTATGTATGTCTCTGCATGTGTATTGGGTATGTATGTCTCTGCATGTCTATGGGGTATGTATGTCTCTGCATGTGTATAGAGTATGTATGTTTCTGCATGTGTATTGGGTATGTATGTCTCTGCATGTCTATGGGGTATGTATGTCTCTGCATGTGTATGGGGTATGTATGTCTCTGCATGTGTATGGGGTATGTATGTCTCTGCATGTGTATGGGGTATGTATGTCTCTGCATGTGTATGGGGTATGTATGTCTCTGCATGTCTATGGGGTATGTATGTCTCTGCATGTGTATAGAGTATGTATGTCTCTGCATGTCTATGGGGTATGTATGTCTCTGCATGTGTATAGAGTATGTATGTTTCTGCATGTGTATGTGGGTATGTATGTCTCTGCATGTGTATTGAGTATGTATGTCTCTGCATGTCTATGGGGTATGTATGTCTCTGCATGTCTATGGGGTATGTATGTCTCTGCATGTGTATGGGGTATGTATGTTTCTGCATGTGTATGGGGTATGTATGTCTCTGCATGTGTATTGGGTATGTATGTCTCTGCATGTGTATGGGGTATGTATGTCTCTGCATGTGTGTGTGGGTATGTATGTCTCTGCATGTGTATTGGGTATGTATGTCTCTGCATGTGTATAGAGTATGTATGTCTCTGCATGTGTATGGGGTATGTATGTCTCTGCATGTGTATGGGGTATGTATGTCTCTGCATGTGTATTGGGTATGTATGTCTCTGCATGTGTATGGGTATGTATGTCTCTGCATGTGTGTGTGGGTATGTATGTCTCTGCATGTGTATTGGGTATGTATGTCTCTGCATGTGTATGTGGGTATGTATGTCTCTGCATGTGTATGGGGTATGTATGTCTCTGCATGTCTATGGGGTATGTATGTCTCTGCATGTGTATGGGGTATGTATGTCTCTGCATGTCTATGGGGTATGTATGTCTCTGCATGTCTATGGGGTATGTATGTTTCTGCATGTGTATGGGGTATGTATGTCTCTGCATGTGTATTGGGTATGTATGTCTCTGCATGTGTATTGGGTATGTATGTCTCTGCATGTGTATTGGGTATGTATGTCTCTGCATGTGTATAGAGTATGTATGTCTCTGCATGTGTATGGGGTATGTATGTCTCTGCATGTGTATGGGGTATGTATGTCTCTGCATGTGTATGGGGTATGTATGTCTCTGCATGTGTATGGGGTATGTATGTCTCTGCATGTCTATGGGGTATGTATGTCTCTGCATGTGTATGGGGTATGTATGTCTCTGCATGTCTATGGGGTATGTATGTCTCTGCATGTGTATAGAGTATGTATGTCTCTGCATGTGTATGGGGTATGTATGTCTCTGCATGTGTATGGGGTATGTATGTCTCTGCATGTGTATTGGGTATGTATGTCTCTGCATGTCTATGGGGTATGTATGTCTCTGCATGTGTATGGGGTATGTATGTCTCTGCATGTGTATGGGGTATGTATGTCTCTGCATGTGTATTGGGTATGTATGTCTCTGCATGTCTATGGGGTATGTATGTCTCTGCATGTGTATAGAGTATGTATGTTTCTGCATGTGTATGTGGGTATGTATGTCTCTGCATGTGTATTGAGTATGTATGTCTCTGCATGTCTATGGGGTATGTATGTCTCTGCATGTGTATGGGGTATGTATGTTTCTGCATGTGTATGGGGTATGTATGTCTCTGCATGTGTATGGGGTATGTATGTCTCTGCATGTGTATTGGGTATGTATGTTTCTGCATGTGTATGTGGGTATGTATGTCTCTGCATGTGTATGGGGTATGTATGTCTCTGCATGTGTATTGGGTATGTATGTCTCTGCATGTGTATGTGGGTATGTATGTCTCTGTATGCATACATGCTTTCTGTGGTTTTCTCTTTATTTCTTCTGGTTTTCTGTTTCCGTTGTTTTATTCTGTTTTTGTATTGAC